CGGAGCGGCGGTAAGGCGATCGCACCTCAAAGTAAGCGCGTCCAACCAAGGCAACATGCGTAGGCGCTCCATCTCGCGATGCGCGCCAAGCAGAGCAGATTTGCATGGACCGTATCGACGAATGTACCTCGAGCAACGAGTGCCTTGAGGGCACGACGCTCGATTTCGAGTCAAGCAGGTCGTTTCCATACGACTGCCCTTGCCACGTAGCGCCGCGAGCACTACGGAAAGGCCATGGCCAAGGTGTCACGCATCTTCAAGATCAAGGTCGCACGGACTGTCCCGACAGTCCCAATCATCTCTCTCTGGTTGCGTGACTAAGTATATCTTGGTGTTGAGCTACAGGAGCGACTACCTCGACGGCCTCAAACCCTGGAAAGGCTAGCACCGCAGCACAGCGAAACGCCAGCCAAGAAGGAGCGGCGGCTCCAGCTATCGTACCGGTAGTCGTGTACTTTATAAGGCCTCGATCTCTCTACTTGTACTGCTCAAAGCGTCCAGAATAGCTTCTTTTCTCTCCGTGTCTACTAGCACTAGGTTATGGCACTCTAAGAATGGAGCTCCAAGCTGGTCGCACTCGAAATACTCTCGTTAGAGTCGCCGCAAAGGACGTGTCGATGAGCTACTGACGACATGGTATCAATGCTTGCATGTCCACTGCTAACTGCAAGGTTGACGATCATTGGACATTGGTTAAGCTGCACATAACCGAAGAACTGTTGACGTGGCAGCACGAGAAGCGAGTAGTAAATCTTATTGCATCCTATTTGTCTCTACCCCACAGAATGTGCTACAAAAGCAGCCTCCCAGCAGCTCTAGCTTCAGCGCCCAACGTGCGACCGAGATTCGTCTCTTGCCTGCGATACCATGCGTATCGAAGCACACGCACTGATTCGAATCCCTCAACCGTGCGCGGTAATCCCAGCCGTGCACGTAACGCGCCGTCGCTGCAGCGGTCGACAGCCCAAAGAATCTCTCTTCACTACCACCGTGAGCTCCCACCGCGTTCCTTCCCGTCGGCCTGTCGTGCAGATTCTTCTAGGTAGCCCGCAGCTCGCTTTCGATCTTGGACCACACCGCCTTATGTCGCTGGAGAATGGTCTAAAAGCAGTGGTCTACAAGCGGTGCTCGCGCGTCTACCTCTACAACGCAGTGCTCGATGCCATGCAGTTACGGTGCATGATTCGTACCCGGCCTTGACGACATTGCAGTGGGATGGCCGTGCACTGTATCTTCTAATAGCGTGGTATAGCTACTAAACAGAACCACTGGAATCCAAGCCGCGCCGTCGGTCGTGTCGGCGATCGTCGCCTCTTTACTGCGGGCGTCCCGTCCCGGATTCCGCGCTCGCGGTCTTTCCGCCAAAGATACCACGCCGCCCATCCAGCCACCGATCCTCGTCTCGCTGAATTTGCATCTGAGTCGTTCACTGTAGCTGTATCTGGCTCGTTCTTTTTGCAGTGATCATCTCCAGCGTAGAGTCCAACGAACTCTGTCGGCTTCAATCTGGTGGCGCGTTGGGTCGCAAGAAGAGCCTGGATATCCTCATCCAAGCAGCAGGCGTCCCCCTTCATGTCCACGAGGGTGACATCCGTACCTCTGGCTCCCACCGTCGATTCCTCGGGTGGGAGACAGGCCGGGAAGAATTGCCTGCGGTCGCTTTTTACGCGTCTCCTCCCAGTCTCCTCCCTTGCGTGTGATCACCACACTGCGTGGTTGTATACTGTATAATTCTGTGACCTTCCATCCTGCCCTGCATCTGCTTGCTGTCGGCGCACTGGACGTGCACGCGAGCTCGCGTTTCCCTCCCATACATCTGGGCCAGGTGTCCCACGGCTCAGGCCCAGGCGTCATCGCGTGGCCCGCCTCGTATTCCCATATGCGAGTATAATACGACTCTTTACAATGCTGCACTTGTGCCAAGTGTCAGGATAAAACGTACTACATACGCGAATCCAAAGACGAGATTGCTCTTTGCAGCAGAATTAGATTTCCATCGGCATGCTGCGCGAGTGGCTGCGTGAGTACTGGAGCATCACCGTACGCACCAAGCCGTATGCAGAGGTGAACGCGGAGAAGTGGCTGCTGCTGTGGCCCATGCCCGGCGGCCAGTACGCCTTCTCGCCATGCCTGCGCTTCCACCGCGTCTACATCATCCTCGCGGCCTTTCTCGCGCAAGCCGCCCTCGGCATCCTGTACGCGATGGCCGTCATGACCGAGCCGTTCAACAAGTACTTCTTCCCCGGCGACAACACGACTGACCACGGCAACCAGCTCCTCCTCGTCGGCGGCGCCTTCTTCGCGTGCACGGTCGCGATGCTGGGACCGGCCCTGGAGCGCCACGGGCCGCGCTGGGGCATGAGCCTCGGCAGCGGCGGCATCCTTCTCGGCTTTATCTTGATGCAAATCGCGCTCTCGACGTCCGCGTGGGCACTCATGTACATCGGGTTCGTTCTAATCACCGTAGTGATCGCTCATGCCCAACACTCGTATCTTAGGACGGTTTTGTGTTCGGTGGGCTTTGGCTACGTCTGCTTGACGTCCATGGCAACATGCCAAAAATGGATTCCCGACCTCCGCGGGACGGCCAGCGGTATCTGCATCCTCGGGTTCGGCCTCGGCCAAGCGTTCTGGACCTTCTTCATCGACGCGATTCTCGACGCCTTTGCAGCGCCGCTCGACGTGGTGTTTTGGCTCATCCTTGCGCTACTGACGCCGCAGCTCGGGCTCTGCACGCTGCTACTTCGGACACCGCCGCCGTCGTTTGTCATCAACGGCCACGACATGCACGGAATTCCCATCGAGCGCGCGCCCAACGCCGACGTGGTCCAGGACGAGTACCTCAAGATCGGCATGACGCTCGTCAACTACAACCTCGTGGACCGGTCGGCCACGTCGGCGCAGCAGCACACGTCGGCGGCCGTCGAAGGCACCGAGCGCCACTACTACGAGCAGGTGAAAGCGCTCTCGCTGGTCCAGTGCATTTTTTCCACCGACTTTCTCTGTCTCTGCGTCGCGTTCGCGGCCAACTCGACGATCGGGCTCACGTTCGTGTCGATCGCGTCGCCCAAGAACGGCACCGACCCAACCATCGCCCTCTACTCGATCACAAAGGACGACGCCGCGCACCTCGTCACGATCGGGTCGGTCGTGGGCTTTGCCGGGCGGCTGCTCGTGCCCATGCTCTCGGACGTCATCATCCGCATCTTCTACGCCAACCCGGCCTTTGCGCGCAAGATCGTGTTTGTGCTCCTGCTCGCGATCCAGAGCGTGACGCTGCCGATCTTTGCCGACCGGTTCGACTCGTACAGCGCGTTCCAGTGGCTCATCTACACGGTCAAGTTTGTCAGCGGCGGCGGCGGTGCGCTCATTGCGTGCTTCCTCACCGACATGTACGGTGTCTACAACATGGGCACCATGTACGGGCTCATCTTGACGAGCTGGTCCATCGGGCTTCTCCTTGTGAAGGCGCTTTTCAAGGACGTGCTTGGGCCGAGCCAGCTCCGCGGCTACTGGATGCTCTCGCTCGTTGGGCTTGTGCTCATGGTGTTTGTGCGCACGGTCTCGATCGACCGGTTCTACCACGGCTATCAATTTTCCATGTTTGGTCGCATCTTAGTCCAGATTCCGTTCCGAACACCAAATACGCAGTGGCGCAAGACGACGACGGACCAAAACGTGGTCATGCTCACGCCCAACCGCGGCTCGTTCTTCATGTGGAACTCGGACTCGGAGCGCAGCGGCCACGACATCCGCGACATTTAACCCACTACATAGTCTAGTACACCTAATTATACATTATAACAGCTCGTCTTGTTGTCGTCGTCGCATCGCTGTCTGAAGATCCCAAAGTGTACACAATCGAAATAAATTACGTGGCACGCTCCTAGACGTGCACTTTTTGAAAACCATTGTCCGAGTCGATTTCATAAATGAAGAAGGAGCCGCGCTCGGGCGACATGGTTGGCGGCCGCACGTCGTCGTCGCGCGCGTCGTCGTCCCGTGGGCCAAACGGAAGATCCACGATCGATCGCCCACAGAGCGAGAGCCGGTAGCCGTCGTAGAACCGGTCGCGGGACGTTGTCCGGACAAAGACGAGCAGCACGAGCCCGGCGAGACAGAGCGCCCAGAACACCAGCAGCGTATCCCCATCGACGCCGACCTTGACGAGCGGCGCGACAAAGAGGAGGACGGTCGCCCAGATGCTCCACGCAAACGCATACATGGCGCCCATGTTGTAGACGCCGTACATGTCCGTGAGGAAGCATACGACGAGCGACGCCGCCGCGCCGCCGCAAAATTTGGTCACGTAGATCATGGCCGGCACGGTGCTGTCGAAGTCACTGGCGCAGATCGGGAGCGCAATCACGGCCAATAGAAGCACGGCGACAAAGGTCACCTTGCGCGCAAACGCCGGGTTGGCGTAAAAGACGCAAATGACCGCGTCCGAGACCATCGGGACGCCCAGTCGCCCGGCGAACCCGAGAAGCGCACCGTGCAGCTTGAGCGACTCCGCGTTCGCGATCGCATAGTCGGTGGCCCACGAGGCGCCCGGCGCCGCGAGCGGAATGTACGGTAAATTGAGCGTCGAGAGCGCGACAAACGCCATGCAGAGACAGACAAAGTCGGTCGAGAGCACGCACTGCATGAGGGTGAGCGCCTTGACTTGCTCGTGGTACTGCCGCGTCGTGACCTCGGCGTCGGTCGTGCCCGACTCGTTCGAGCGACGGCGAATCGCGTCAAAGTTGACGAGTGTCATGCCAACCTTTAGGAATTCGTCGTGGATGACGTCGGCCTTGACCGCGCGGTCGACCGGAATCCCGTGCATGTCGTGGCCGCGGACGAAGAAATCGGGCGGCGGCGTCCGGAGAATGAGCGTGCAGAGCCCGAGGAGCGGGAGCATGACCGCCAAAACGAACCAGTAGTAGTGCTGCAGCGGCACGCCATGTTCCTCGAGCGTCTCAAAGTACCAATTCCAGAGCGGCTGCCCGAGGCTGAACCCAACCGAGCAGAGGCCGCTGATGGTGCCGCGGAGGTCGGGCGCCCACTTTTGCGCGGTCGAGATGGACGTCAAGAGCACGACGCCGAGCCCCACGCTGGAAAAGAGCAGCCTAATATCGCAATAAGAACCGAGAGGAGTAAGATCACATTGTACAACCCAATGTGCATCATGGGCCAGAGGCGTGCGAGCAGCGCGACTTCGAGGCCGAGGTAGCCAAAGACGACAAAGGAGGTACCAAAGAGCATGGACCAGCGGGGCCCGCGGCGCTCAAGGAGGGGCGTGAGGAAGGCGGCAATGATGCAGTAGGCGATGACGCCGACGACGAGCGACCGAAGCGCGCCAGAAATGAGGTCGGGGTCCTCAAAGAAGACGCCGGCAAAGGACTCGAAGACGACAATCATTGCATAGAGGATGCCGGCGCAGAGCTGCGCGAGGAACCCCGCGAGAAAGATGTACCACCGGTGGAACCGCAGGCAGTGCAGCACGAGCGGCGGGCGATGCGCTCGAGGAAAAACAAAGAGGTAGCGCTCGGCGTGGACGACGTCCAGCGGTTTGGTCGGGAGGCTAATGCACCAGTACGCCTGCAGCCATTCCATGGCGAGCGAAAGAGCTAGAATGGCACGTTTGCTGTTTGCTACCAAGAGTGGAACATTCATCTGAATCGTGTGGACGTGATTGGCCGACGTGAGAGACGGGGCGTGAGTCGCGGTTTAGCCACCGCACGATAGACGATCGTCACAAGTTGGCACACTACACTGTACGAGCAAGTACTATGTGATGAGCTCTTGTAGTTCTAGTCGTCGTCGCAAAATCGGTGCTATGGCGAACAGGATAGACAAATAACCACATCAATTTTGCATTCGGGGCTTGTTGAGCTTCTCCGATGCACCACCTGGGTGATCTGAAACGAAGCCAAGATATACCTTTGCTTCGTACCCTGCTCGCTCGGTACCCTTGGTGCTCTCACGGCTGCCCCTTTCGGCTAATATCAACAACAACTATCCATCACAACTATCCAACGAACGTGACATGTTCGTCGTTTGCTCAGTCGTCCTCATCACCGCAGCATATCAGCGACGACGCCTAGACAGACCACTGAACCAGCTTTCGGGTACGAATTCGCACAAAGATTATCGAATGCACGCAGGAGACTACCGGTTTAGACAGACGATCACCAGTCGTTACTTAGACTAATGGTCTAGTGTAACAGTGTTATGACTACTACAAACCGTACGACTGGACGTGTCGAGATCATCTTGTGATACGATGTGGCATCTGAAATCAGCTGGGTCGTCTTGCTATGAATCACGAATGACTCGTTTGGTCATTGGCTGCCAGTCCTTCTGGCAGGTTGATTCGACAAAGTCACACATAGTGCTTGGTTGAATTTGCAAGAGTGAACAACCCGCACACAGAGTTGTTTCATGTTTTTTGTGTTTTCGCTGGATATTTCTGCACGATGGTATCGCGGACGATTTGAATGTATCCGTTGCCCTGTGATGTATCCAAATATCATCTCTCCAAGCTGTCCACTTGCGGCCATTTTCAGCCAAGCGCCTTCCGGCTCCATGCGTCTGGCTTCTATATAACAAGCACTGCACGAAGCGGCGTCACTTGACGATGGCATTTCACCAGGCCACACTGCGCCTCGAGGAAGCCCCGACGAGCCGTTGCTACCTGCTCACGCGCCCCGTGCTCATCACGTCGCACGTCGACGGGCGCAAGCAGTACTTGACAACCCGGCTTTGGTCGTCGCGCTTGCGCTGGTCGTCGACGCCGTCGCGCCGGTCGATCTTTGTCACTGACGCAACGCTGTCGACGCCGACGCATATCGTGTTGCGCAGCCAGCGTCGATTGCGCTGCATTATGGAGCTAGCCTCGCCCGAAGTAGACGGCTGCTGGCCCCGAAAGGTCCCGGCTTGCGCGTTTGTTTTGACGCGGCGCACGCGTGCAGGGCTGCCAACCGACCTTTTCGAGAGCCCAGAGGTGTCCAGCGTGGCGTCGACGCCATTGCAGAGTCGGTCGCGAGGCGGGAGCCGGTACGTGCTGCGTAGCATGGAGCGACCGGGCGACGTTGATGTGCGATCACACGACGGCTCGACATGGGTGCCGCTGAGCCTCTTCTCCCCCCACCCGAGCCAATAATAGTCTATTCGTGAACAATGTGTAAAACAACGAGCAACAATAACGCCAGAGCGAAATTCCAGTCTTGAACGATCTCAAGAGCGCCCGATCGGTTGATCGGCTCTACTGGGTGCCGTTTCCTTGGTGTCCTTGCTGTTAACTTGGATATAAGAGCAGTATGTATCCATAGCTACCTTCGATGGAGCAGAGTCTGTAACTTGGTGCAAAAAAGAAGAGCCAAAAACCCTCGGTGTGGATGTTGAAAAATGCTCGCTAGAAATATGACTTCTTGCATTGGGTTGTTGAGCTGTGGTGGTAGCGTCCATACCGATCGCCAAGTCGAGAACGCCGACGACCCTGTCGTCCCCACCGACAACTTCTTGGTGGCATGGATATTACCAGTAGCGTCTCAATAAAAGTCAGATCTCACTCGTGTCGTCTCGCCCAAGCCTTGACGTTGTCTTGCCTATGGAGCGGGGACAAGGAGCCCACGCCGAGAATGCACGACGAGGCATGCGTGCAGCCAAACCGAACAGGACGGATCCTTCCACAGTACCATCATGACGTGACGAACACACTTGCGTAGTTGCGCACTGGGCTTCGACAGCCTTCTGCGGTGGCGTACCGTAGGTACAAGTAGAGCCCGTCCGTGCTAAAGCCCAGCTGTCTTTCTGCAAAGAGTTGGACCCCGTCGGTCTGGGTCCGAAGATGGATGCCCTTGCACCAAGGCCCTCGCCAGGAGCTCACCATGGCGCAGGCTGCTAGCCTGAGGCGACGAGACAGTGTTGATAAAAATACAGTGCGTTCCTGTCCGAGCTGCCACGTTCGACGCGGCAACAGGTGGCACGTCTCGCCCCACGTTGAGCTGCCGCGCCACTGTCTTGACGCAAAACCCGCGGAGTCCCGCCGCAGATGGTCTAGTGCAACGAAGGGCAGCCATCTTGGTCCAACGCCATTTTGCATTTTGCACTTTGCGTTCAACATGCAAGCGCCCATTGTGCTCACGTGCGACGCTGGCAAGGCCATGGTCGTCGCCACCGACAAGTCGTCGACTGCGTCTGTCGTCGAATCGCGCTTCCTCCTCGATGGCGCTGAGTACCTCTCCATCGAGCCTATCGACGAGTCGCTCGTGCACCTCGTCTCGATGCACCACGGCAAGCGGTACCTCAGCGGGCAGCCGCTGCGCTCCTCGCTCGTCTGGTCAACGCGCGCGTCGCCCCGAGCCGTCTTTCGCATCGCCGAGTCCGAGTCGCCAGGGACCTTTTGCCTTGAGAGCGTGCGCTGGCCGCAGCAGTTTGTGCACTGGAAGCGCGCGCGCTCCAGCCGCGCAATTGGTCACCTCGCGCTCACGCGCAAGCACGCGACAGCGTTCGCTGCTATTGACGCTGCCCAGCGCGACCAGACGCTCCTCCGACGGCGGTACGATGCGAACTCGGCCGTTCCCACCGTCTACGTCTGCGCCACAGCTTTCAACGTCGACTTGACGAGCGCAGAGGAGGTTGACGCGCTCTGCGTCCTCGAGCCCATCGGGTGCTGGGAAGCCGAGGACTTGCCGGTGGCGTACCGTGCCGACTGGCAGCACTGTCAAGCGTCCTAGTCGCCCCGATTCTGTATTTATTCGGTTTAAAGATGATATATATAAAACCACATGTCGCATCAGATGGCTTGGTACATGGACACTGTGGGCGGTGGCAGCTCCAGTGGCGGCAAGTTGCACTGGTCAACGTACGACCGCGTCCAGAGCAGCATGAGCAGAGCAAACGCGAGGGCCAGCAGCGGCGACAGCAGCACCATGCTGCCAATCGAGAAGAGGCTGATGCATGTCACGCGCAGCGAGGCTTCGAGCAGGAGCGCGACGCCGTAGACGCGGCAGACGCACTTTGAGACCGCTTGGACCTCGGGATGGCACCAGTAGACAGCTAGCGACGCACGCTTGGCGTCCGAAGAGCCGTAGAAGCCGCGCACGTAGTGCCACACGAGGTTCTCGTCGTCCCACTGGAGCGAGAGTAGAAAGCCGGCGCCGATCGTCATGGTCGTGAACGAGTCCTTGACGAGGAGCACCTTGGGCTCGTTGGTGAGAAAGAGCGCGGCGAGCGCCGAGGCTGTCGCGAGCACTTGCTATTTCAGCAAGATAGCCGCGTTGTTATATGCTGCGGTTCATACGTACTAGAGCCGAGATGGGATCGAGGCAGCGGAAGACGAGGATCTGGTACAGCGTTTCGAGCGCGGGCGGCAGCGCTGCCAGCAGCATCGCACGCAGCTCGGTCGTGAACGGCATGCTCGCGTAGTAGAGCAAGAGCGGTAAGACAAGGTTGATAAGGACACACTGCGCTGCGTTCTTTTGCGGCCACGACGACGACGCAGTCGACGGCAGCAGCGGTGTGAAAGCCTTGGGGGGCTCGGCGCTGGCTTGCATTGTCGGCAATAATGGACCGTTGCGCGAAAGGCGCCAAACCTTCGAGCATCGAAGACGCCAGGAACATTTGGTGGCCGCCAACGGCTTGCAAGTCCGTAGTCGTGCCACCGCTCAAGTCCCGGGCTTGCGGTCGGTTGCCTAGCTTGTCGTCGGGGGCGGTGAGCTGCAGTCGTTACGGCACCGGCGACAGCAGGCGAGATTATGCCCATCAACGTTTGCGGCTTGGCGATCTTGAATGTGAGTATTGATAGTTAGTCGCGATTTCGACTACAGTGTCGTTTCGACTAAATCCGGATATGTGGATTCTATCCGGCATTGCCCATTCCAGCTTTCCCACCGCAAACGCAAGATGGCCGACTTGATGCTCCAGAGCGAGTTCTCCAAGGACCCGAACAAGCCCTTTAGCAGCCGCGTCGACGACATCTCGGCGTCCTTCGACGCCATTCTGAAGGAATGCTCCGAGCTCTTCCTCCTCATGGAGAAGGCCGAGTACGTACATACGGACCTTCTCCTTCGCTCATCCACGCGCCTGTAGCCCGGCGACGCGCGAGGCTGGCGCCGAGGCCATCAAGAAGAAGATCGACGCCTTCAACTCGGTTTGCGACGAGCTGTACAAGGAGATCGTACGCGTGTCAAGGCCATGGCGCAGGCGGTCATCATCACGCTGCGTGTAGATGCGCCGGAAGGAGAAGCTGGTCAACCACAACGAGAAGGGCATCACGCGGACCATCGACTTGCATCGACAGATCCAAACGGCGGGCAACCTCGCGCAGATGATGGGCGAGTTCCGCCACTTCCTGCACACGTCGACGCCACCGCCCCACACGCAGCCGCAGTAACAACATGTACATTCTATGCTCATTACTTCAAGAGACCGATCAGCGACAGCACAGTCATGAGCACGCCGCTGGCGACGAGGAATGCGCCGCCGTACTTGAGCTTGGCGTTCACCTGGTTGACGCCGACTTGCCAGAGAAAGAGGCCTATGCATCTCGTATGAGCTCCAAAATGCAGTGCAGTCGTACCTGGCACTGCAAAGTTGAGGAGGATGTCGCCGACGGCGCCGACAAAGCCCATGATCATGCTCAGGTCCTTGCACGTAATCGCAAGGACGTACGCGCCAACGAGCGACGCCATTGTCCAAGAGGTGCGCGTGGAACGCGAGACGTCGCCGTCGCCGACAGCAACGGCCTCGAGCACATGCAGGAAGGGCTGGAAGATGAGCGGGATCTTTAGCACCATGCACGTGCCAAGCACGATGCGGACGCTGTTGACGAGCGGGTCGTCGGACGCAAAGCCCGTGAGGATGTCGGGCACGATCGCGCCGTGGAAGCACACGTAGCCGAGGAAGCTGAAGCAGGCGTAGAGCACGCACCTAGAGACATACATATGTATACATCATGCTCGCCAGTAGAGATACCCGAAGAACATGGTGGTAAAGTTGATCGCGTGCATCTGCGCCTTGTGCTGGAGCTCGCCGTAGACGCGGACAGAGTTGATTTGGCAGCCAAAGGCCAGCGCTTGAAGCGGGATCGTGTACAGCACGCCGTCCACCGAGATGGCTGGCGACGCCTCCGGGAGCCCGCCCGTCTGCACCGCGCGCACAAACAGCACCAGAAAGATGTAGCCCATGCAGCCGACGACGATCGAGTTGGAGTGGCGCAGCGCGTAGAGCGACTCGGCGAGGCAGAGCGGGATCGCGACGAGCGTAAAGAGCGCGCCGATCACATACCGACTCACATACGCAGCGACGAACGGGTGCAAGAGGTCCATGGCGACGACCATGAAGACCGCCATGATGCCAAAGAGCAGCACGAGCGTGAGCAGACGCACAAACCACTGGCGGCCGCGGCCAAAGAGCACGCTGCTCATGCCCTCGAACGAGTACTCGCCGGTTGCGTCTGCGGTGACGATGCACGCGTAGCACGACACGAACGCAAAGCCGGCCATGACGACGAAGAGGAGTGTGCACCCGAGGACGCCGGTCATCGCCATCGTACTCGGAAGCGCGAGCGCGCCGGCGCCCATCATGGTGCCCACGAGCGCAAAGGTCGACGTCCAGAACGTTCCTTGCGGCAGCGGCGCCGACGCGCCATGCTCGTCACCGGCCTTGACCAGGAGCGCGCTCTGCTCGTTACGTGCCATTGGAAAATGATGACAAACGAGGTTGCCCTTTTGCATACACCGGGGTATGGCGCTGAAAAGGCATACTCGCCCGGGGCACGGTCGAGGGTCATTGTCTGGGAGAAACCGGATATTGACCGAATTAGGACTTTGCAGGTGGGCAAAACTCAACAAGATTCGGTTTTCCACCGAGGGTGTGGACAGGAGTGGGAGACGGCAAGTTGAAGTTGGTGAGGTCGCCAGAGCCCCTTTTTTACTCCATGTCACGAGTCAACCAACGGCCACGAGAGCGCGACCGTACCAGATTCCAGATTCCAGATCTGGCAGCGGATCTTACTGACGGGGCGTCGTCGATGTCTCCCTCCTCTCGACAACCGATGCCCGATGTCGAGGCGAACGTCCCGCCACTCCGCCGGCAACGATGTAGCGGCACGCGGCTGCGAAGGAAGGTCACCGAAGGGCAGAGGATCGGTCATTCGAACGCTGTGCTGGCGATGATGACGGCTTCGTGCCAGTGGTGGTGGTGCAATGCCCAAGCCGACGATCTTCAAGGTCTTACTATCAAGGTATCAACGAGCATATGAACGATATGCACATTGTATTACTACGCAATGGCGGTGGCGACGAGGCCGTAGATGGCGACACCCGAAAGCGTGAGCCCGAGAAGCATCAAGAGCACGGCTAAGATCTTGTAGAAGGTCGTGCCCGGGAGCGCAAACGCCGGGCCTTGGGTCACTTCAAAGAGGAAAAAGCCGGGGAGCACGAGCATGACGACGCTGCCGACGACTGCGCCAAACCAAAACAGCGTCAGACCGAGGCCCGGGCTCAGCACGGCGAGGCCGCCGGCGAGGGCGAAGAAGACCTACAATACAATGTCAAAACCAAGTCGACTCGGGAGTTGAACCCGCACCAGCGTGGCCACCATGCGGAAGACGAGGCGCCCGACCGACTTGCGCTCGGCAAAGTACGTGTCTTCGAAGATGTCGCGGAGTGGAAAGAACGTGCGCGGAATCGAGACGAGGAGCGCGCTCGCAAGCACGACACGGAGCACGTTGACGTCCCAAGCGTCAGACGCAAAGGACGCGAGGACATTGTCGGCCGGCGTCCCGCTCGTCGCGAGGTACCCGAAGGTCGCGACCGCGTAGTAGACGCCGAGGCTAAAGACGACGACGAGGAGAGGCAGGTATCGCTGCGTCGTGAGCGCCTGCTGGCCGTCGCCAATCGTGCCGTACGTCCGCAGGAGCTGGACATGCCCGAGGAAGCTCGAGAGCTGGATCGGGACGACGTAGCTCACGTCCATCCAGTTGGACGACGCCGCGTTCGATGGCCAGGACCCGCCGACCGAGTGGCCCGAGAGGCTCAGCGCAAGGTACAGCGCACAGAGCACGATCTACAAACAGTCCATGACTCGTCCCTTGAGCGAAAGAAAACGTGTACCAAGTGGCGGGACCAGTGGAGAAAGTTGGGCACAACGTCCGGCAAACAGAGCGGGAACGGGACAAGGCAGAGGAGCGCGCAGATCGCGGGGCGCGAGAGGCCCACGAATGGCGCGACGAGGTCCGTGGCCACGAGGAGGTAGATGACCACCGTGCCGACGAGCGGGAGGAGCGTGATGGCGCGGATGAGCTGGCCATGGTGCGGCGAGCAGAGCCGCCTCGTGATGGCTTCGTACGAGTACGCTTGTGTGGCATGGGCGACGACGGTCAGCGAGTGCAGCGACGCGAGCGAGAGGAGTCCGGTTGCGCCGAGGGCGACAAGGGCCGGCGTCGGCTGCGCGACCACGAGCGTGTGGGGCAGCGCGAGGAGGCCCGCGCCGAGGATCGAGGACGAGAGCGTGAGGAAGGATGAGGCGAAGCTGGCGCCGGGGCTGGCGCGGATCGACTTGAGGGGCAGGAGCAGGCGGCGCTCGCTCATTCGTCTTCTCTCGTGTGTTGTTGACTGCGATAATATCCAAAACGCCCAATGGTCCCTGATTGGCCAAAATACTGCGACAAGTCACTTTCATTGGTCAAAAGCATGCAATAATGAGCGAAAATGATCGCCTTGCCCAAGCCGGCGATGACTGCTCATTGGTGCAAAAGAAGGTGATACGCAAGTGGATTGGCTAAAATGGTTCGGAATAGCGACCGCACTGGCGTCAGAAGCTACGATGGACAACCGAGACGGTGTCGACCGCACACAACCCAGCCGACCATCGACCTCCGTCGGGCCACGTGGCGCCTGCGAGGACCAAGTGGCCTCGACCAGGGCTGATCCGACAACCCGGCGACCCTCAACGACCCGCTGCCACCGCCACACCAGCACGCGAGCTCATCTATGGCGAGTGTATGTGGCTTAGAGAAAGGACCAGAGCGCGAGGGCGAGTAAGCTCGTGCCAATGAGGATCATGGCGCGGGCGAGATGCAAGTGCCACTGCACCATGGGCAGGAAGCCTTGGTCGAGCGCCTTCTTGAGAAAGACGCCGGGCACAATGAACGAGACGACGAGGCCGGCCGAGGCGCCAACCCACGCCATGACGTGGCTCAAGTCGGTGGCGGCCACGGCGGCGGCGCCCGCGCCCAGCAGAAAGCCCTAGCGACAGCATCAAGCAGTGTTGGTAGCGCATTTAGATATACCAAAATCAGCAGCACGCGGTAGGGCAGCCGGAGGTGCTCGATCTTGGGCCGCATGTACCAGAGCTCGACGACCTCCCGGAACGGCTGGAACACGAGCGGCGTCTTGCACCACATGCACATGGCGAGCGCGGCCTTGACGCCCGAGATGCTCACGTCAGCGAGCGGAAAGCCGTCGAGGATGTCGGCGGGCGGCGCGCCGCCGAGGCAGACGTAGCCCGCGATCGACGCAATCGTATACAAGACAAGCCCAGACGCAAGCGCATACGCTGCGATATGCGTGATCGACGACTTGCAGCGCAGCTCGCCGTACGCACGCACAAAGTTGAAGTGGCAGCAAAAGCTCAGCGTCTGGATCGGCAGCACCGAGGCGAGGCCAACCAAGGTAACGTCATGCGCGGGCGCGGGCCAAGGCTTGTCGACTGCATGGCCCACGAGCACGAGGACGACGTAGAGGACGCATGCGACCACCTACGATCGACATGATGGAATGAGTTGCAGCCGCGATCCATACCATGGCACTCGAATAGCGCAGCGCGTGGAGCGTGTCGGGGAGGCAGAGGGGAAAGAGACACACGACAAACACCAAAGTGATGCTCGCGCGCGAGAGCGGCAGCACAGGCGCGACCATGTCGGCGGCGATGACCATGTACAGGACCGCGCCGCCAAAGAGCGGGAGTAACGTCACGAGCCGCAGGCACCAGAGCTCGACGCGCGTGCAGAGGAGACGGCCCATGGCCTCGTACGAGTACGCGTCGGTAGCGTCGGCGACCAAGGCCAAGCAGAGGAACGAGAGGCCCGTGAGTGCGGCGTTGAGGATGAGCAGCACGACGCTCGGGACGACGGTCGCACTGGCGACGGTGCTAGGCAGCGCGAGGACGCCCGCGCCCAGCATGGAGCACATGAGCGATACGTAGGAGGATGCGACCGTGCCATGCGGCCGCGCCAAGAACGACGACGTGTCCTTGAAGAGCAGCGGCGTGTACTCCATCGTCGACCTTCGAGTGCGAGCCAATCTGCAGGATTGTATCCGGATACGATGCACTTCCCACAACCGTCTCCCATCCGTGGGATATCTCTGCAGTGTCTCAATAAGAGCTGAGGCCAGACCGACTGCATCGCGCAGGTCAAGACCATGGAGCTGTACGAGCAATGGTTATATGTACTATGGGGTCTACGGCCTCTCTACTTGGTGATTGAGATGATCGTGAGCGCAACGCCCGTGGCCATCATGCCGACGGCGACCACGCGGCCGCGGGTCTTGTCGGTAGGCGTCCATTCGTTGTACGCGTCGTTGGCCACTTGCCACACAAAGTAGCCAGGCACAGTGAAGGCGAGGAGGATGCCGGTCGTGCCGCCGATCCAGCCCATGACGACGCCAACGTCTTCGGCCGTCACGGCGAGCACAAAGGCCGCGAGCAGAAAGATCTAATCACCAACCATCAGCATCTTAACTCGGGACAACCATGACGACGTACCGATGTGGCGAGGACGCGGAACGGGAGGCGGTGGCGCGCCTCGGCGTGCGTCATGGGCCCGAGGAAGACGGTCTCAATGACCTCGCGGATCGGCTGAAAGGTCACGGGCGTCTTGCACATCATGCACAGGCCAAGCGCGATGCGGACGCCGTTGATGCTCGCGTCCTCGGACGAAAAGCCCGTGAGAATGTCGGCCGGCGGCATCCCGTTGAAGCAGACGTAGCCCGCGATCGACGCAATCAAGTACAAGGCCGCGCCCGAGCCCATGATGAGCGTCGACACGATCGTGATCTGGCTCCGGTGCACGAGCTCGCCGTACGCGCGGGGCACGTTGAGGTGGCAGCAGAAGCTCAGCGCTTGGATCGGGACGGCGTACGCGATCGCGCCGTACGTCACGTGCGTCGTCGACGGCGTCGGCCAGTCCATGCCGATCGCATGCCACGAGAGCACGACCACGATGTAGAGCACGCAGAGGACGACGAAGAAGTTGGTGTAGCGCAGCGCGTGGATCGTGTCGGGGAGGCAGAGCGGGAGGCAGATGATCGTGAAGAGTGCGCCGAGCTCAAAGCGCGAGAGCGGCACGAACGGCTCGAGCATGTCCATCGAGATGACGATGTACATGACGACGGCGCCGAAGAGGAGGCCCATGGTCATGGCGCGGATGCCCCAAAGCACGAGCGGGCCGCAGAGGCGCTTGGAGAGAAGCTCGTATGAGTAGACGCCGGTGGCGTTGCAGGCGACGACAAGGCACGCGCACGCAAGGAGGCTCAGCGCTGTCACGGCCGCGAGGATGAGGAGGTTGGGCAGCACGTGGGTCGCGCCCATGGTGCTCGGGAGCGCGAGGATACATGCGCCGGCCATCGTGCTCATGAGGCCGAGGTACGACGTCGCGATCGTCGCGTGCTGGTCAATGTCCTCGGCGTCAGCAGGGCGCAGCAGCGGCTTGGCCTCCCGCATCCTCGTCGTCTTGCAAATCAGAAACTGATTGCAAATGCGATTTGGATTTCACATGGATCACTGGATGTTTGTATGCATATAGAAACTTCAAGTCATTATACACCATCACGCTCCCACCGACGATACGAAGAAAGGCCACTGGCGACTTGAACCCAAGTTGGATGGACGCGCCAAGGTACTCGGCCCCGCGAGGAGCGGTACTGACTCGTAGTGAATACTACTAGTACATTGGACCTGGTCCGACTCAGACGCAGCGTGGCCAGCGTCGACGGCGGCGGCGCCAACTCGAGCCCACTCGGCTGCGACGCGCGTAATGGCCGGCGACAAACCGCTTGGCTCGATTGCGCAACTGGCCGCAACTGCCATCACCCGCGCGACCACCTGCTTCGCATTTGGGGTCGCTGCAAGGCCAGGCGTCACGACGGTCTTTCTCGAGTGTGTCTCGATCTTGACGACTCCAAGGAACCTTCTCTCGTTGACATTGCACTTGGTCGCTGAGCTCATGTAGAAAGAGATTGTTATATAGAGCAATGTGAATTGAAAAGAAGCTCATTAGACCATGGCCTGGCCACCGCGCTCTTCGACGAGGAGCTTCCAGAACTCGTGCGTCTCGGCGACGACCGACTCGGCAAAGTCGCGGTTCATGCACTTGCCCTCGTACGCAAACTGGTTGATGCTCGGCATCTTGTAGTCGCGGAGCCAGTCGTGGATGGCGGCGATGCAGCCGGGCATGTGCGCCTCAATGTCGGCGACGTCATGGATCTTGGAGGCGTAATGGTCCTCGACGTTGATGCAAATGACCTTCCAGTCCGTCTCGTTGTCGTCGATGAGCGCGAGCACACCGAGGACCTTGACCTGCACGATCGAGCCGACGTTCCACTTCTTGGTACCAATCTCAATCACATCGAGCGGGTCGTTGTCGCCGCCGCAGCCGGTACCTTCCGTGATGTGGTTCGGGTCTTCCCACGTCTGGGGGAGCGCGCCGTAGTTGAACATCATGTCGCCCCAGCCATACTCGCGGAGCTTGCCGTTCTTCGTGTCCTGCTTGATCGGGTTGAAGGGCTCGCCCGTCGCGATCTCAAACTTCTTGCGGCTCCACTTGGGAATTTCGCACACAAAGTTGACGCTGCCGTCCGCGTTGTAGAGCGGAATGTCGTGCCACGGCGAGATGCGGACCTTGGAGCCGTCGCGGTGGTGGTAGACAAAGTTGACGCGGAACTCGAAGGACGGGCACGGCCCTGTCATCTCGGTCTCAATGTTGCCGATCGCGGGGTTGGCGATGCGCGCCTTGAGGAACTTGAACTTGGCCTGGTAGCTAGAGGCAATGTGAGACAAAGTGCAAACTCAAGTGCAAACTCGTACCGCTGCATGGCTTCGCTCGGGTTCTCGTTCTTGTGGTCTTCGTTCCACCACTTCATGAACGACACAAAGTTGACGTTGCCCTCGACCGGGTTCATGTACGCAAGCGCCTCCTGGGCCTCAATGTCCGTGATGGGCTCACCGAGGCGCGCGTGGAGCTTCTGCAAGTCCGACGCGTTGATGCTGCCGTTGCTGTTCGAGTCGAAGAGCGAGAAGATCTGCTTCATGCGCTCCATCTCGCGCGGCTCGAGCGCGATCGGCGTGCCGTCTTCCAACACACTGCCGCGGCGCTGGCGACCGCCACGCGCGCGCACGTCCGAGACGGTCTTGTCCGTCTTCTCATACACGGCGAGCTCCGAGCGGAGCGTCGAGACCTGCGAGCGGAGGTCCTCAAGCTCCGTAAGGAGGATCGGAAGGTCGGCGTCTTCACCGCGCCACGAGTCGGAGCGGAGCGTGCGGAACGAAGCCGCAGCACGGGGCGAGCCCGTCGGCGACGCCGCGCCGTTGCGCGCATACGGCGCAAGCTCGCCGTCAGCGACCTCGGGCGCGTTGTCGAGCTGCGCCTGCATCGCCGTCATCCACTTGTTGCGCTCGTCGTCCGAGTCACAGTAGACGCGGAAGCACTTGTTGGTGGGCGTGTAAAACTAGGTACATGTGCATGAGCCTAGGATACCACGGTATGGCGTGTCTACCTGGAAGCCGTGCGGCTTGCCGTCCCAGTCGTGCACCGAGCAGTACGGGATCTTGCCCTTGAGCGAGCCCTCGGCGGCGGCCTCTTCCGACTCGTAGTAGAAGATCGCGAGCGCGCTCTCCTGCAGGACGCAGTAGCGGCGCTTCCAGATGAGCGAGCTCTTCTCGGCCTGGTTGTAGAGGTAGCCGGCGACGGGCGCCGAGACCGCGGCCTTCTGCACGAACGCGTCGAACGAAGCTTGGCTCATGATCTTCTAGTCTTGACTGGTCCGTAGCAAATTGGCGAATGCGTCGGCGTTTCAAGGGAAACCCTGCGCCGGATACCCACGTCGGTTTCCGGATACCAGCCACAAAAATAGTGTGCATTCACAACGTGCGGCCACGATGCTGGCGAGCACCGCGTCCGACGGCTTGCCGCCGTCGTGGCGCCTGCAAAGCATTCGAATGGCATATCGTGGCCGCGGTACACGTATATATACTATCACGTTTACGTAAAGTGGACGAGTTGTCTCTAAATGCGCGGACACATCGAGGTTGACGTCAAAATCAACCACTTCAAGGTCGGAACGTCGCGATTGCTCGGCGCCAGTGACGAGTATCGCGCTGGCGCCAGCAGCAACGGGTCGTCTACTGGTCGCACTTTTACTTGCACTTGTTCGTTGGACGATTTCGTGCGAGGCAACAGAGCCATTGCCCGCAACCTGCAAGGCGCGTGCCACGCGTCGTACACTATTTGCGTTTCGATCGAAACGTGTGTCACACTGAAATGCGAAAGGAGCGACGCCCAATTCGTCCGAATTTCAACGTGGGGCTCGTAGAAGCAGGGCTAGTAATGCCCACGTCGACAAGGGTCCTCCAGAGCGTCCTCGGGAACTACGTCGTTTTTGGAATTGTTTTTCCAGGAATTTCGTTGATTTATGCAGGAATTCTTGGCTTTGAATCCCACTTTGCATATCACGCGTCTGTCCGCTCCTGGATTCCTCCTCCCGGCAGGGGATCGGGGGCAAGACGCAAGCGTTTGCAAGGCGTCTACTAGTAGAGCTTGACGCGAGCTCATGTGCAATGGAATGTGTCACGCACCATGGAACGAGGCCATATCCTTGTCATTGATGTTGAGACTAGGACGCCCGACCTGTTTTGAGCGAATTTGCCCCAGTTGTCCGGATGTTGAAGATTCACCCGACTCAGCCCTCCGCCCAAAGGATGCTACCAAGCTACGCTGATGCCGCAGAGCTCGTGCACTCTACTAGGCAATGTTCTCCATCGTGGTCTCGACGACTTTTGCCATGGCAGGCAGCGTTCCACGAGCGCCCTCGTCGGCGCGTCGTCGTGAGCTATCCGGATGATTGGCTTGGAATTGTCGCGACGGTAACATGTGCGACATTCCCTGGCGCCAAATTTCCAAAGCGCCGTGGCAAGGCCTCTGCACGAAGGTCGCTGCCACCTTCAGTGTACTGGCAAATCTGTACTGCAGTCGTGTTGATGGAGCTTATGTCTCACAGTCCCAGGCAAAACCGATGGCATCGAGGGCAGCTATGCGCTCCGCCGCTAAAGTACCGGTGAGTCTGCCTTGGCGAAAGTACCAGGCCGCGGCCCCGAGATTGATCCCCGCGAGATCTGCGGGCCACGCGTCGTCCGAGGGCACGGTGAACGTGCTGGAGATGTGGAGGTTGCCATACATCGACTTGTAGCGTCCAAAGCCGCGCAGCTTTGTCTCGAACGACTCTTTGTTGGCGTCCCAGACAAACCCCAGCGCGTTCAGCTGCGTCCGGCGCTCTTGCGTGATCACTGCGTCGCCCGACCGGATGTAGTTGACGACGGACCCGAGCTTGTAGTGCCAGAGGCGCTGCGGCCACGCTGGGTCGTTCGCTGGTACGACAAAGATGAACGGGACCAATGTGTGGCCATACTGCGTTTTGAAGATGCGCAAGGCTTCAATGCGCTGGTCCCACTTGGCTGCAAACGCGTCCCACGCAAAGCCCAGCTCGGCGAGCTGCGCATGGCGCGCTGGTGGACACTTGGCCTCGCCTTGCGCGCGCAGCTTAGTGACCATCGTACCGAGTCGGGCGCCCCACATCTCGACGGGCCACGCCGGGTCGCCAGAAGGCACGACAAAGTCTTGGCGCACGAGGACGTGCTCGTACATGTGCTTGTGGACGCGGAGCGCGGAGATGAAGAGCGCCCAGCGGTGCTCGAGTGGGCGCCACAAGAAGCCAGCGGTCGTCAAGGCCTCTACAAACGACGCCGGAAGGCTACCTTTTTTGCCGAGCGTTCGAAGACCGGTGATGTGGATGGTCTTGCCGTGGAGGTGCTCGGGCAGCGCCGGGTCCGGCGGCACCGTGTACCGCCCCGGCAGCAGCGTGACGCCGGTCGCAGCCTGTTGCCGGTCGCGCTCAAACTGCACGACGAGCAATATGTCGTCGAGCGCCCGCAGCGAGATGGCGCCGCTACTGCTTGCATGGCGGTGGCGCGCGCCGGCAACTTGCAGTCCGAGCCAGCCACGGCGGAACATGACGATTGAAACCAAGCCGGATACGCAACTCGTATCCGGAACGCCCATCGTCAACCCTCCTCAAACAGTGTTTTGTACAGAGTCTACATCTTGGCAAGATCCGGGTTGCCAACGAGACACCTCCTCTGCTAACCTCAGCAGCTAACTCGTTGAGCTTGACACGAGCAAGCATGGATGTGTGTCCTCCACTTGAGCACCAACGTTGCATGGCAGCGAGGCCCGATCGTCGGCCACCGAGATCATCATCGCCCACGTCCTCAGACGGCTTCTCTCGCTACAGTGCAAGTACGTGCTAACCACGGGGCTTGAGTCATCCCACTGGAGCTTTAACTCGGGTAGATTGTTTAAGAGCGCTACATGGAGGTGGGGCACGTGTCTAGAAGCACTTTGACGACGAGGTTGACGGTCTCGGTGGCCACAACGAGGGGCTGCATCGCGTGGATAAAGTGGCCGGCGCCATGCACAACAACGGGTCCTCGTCGTCGCTCGGCGTTGGTGATTTCGACGAGGCCATTGTTGTATGCGTGCCAGAACGGATGTGTGAACTGCTCGACGATCTCGGGCGATACCTCGGGCATCGCGATCGACTCTTGCAGAAACACTGCCGGGTCGTGCTCGAGCACCGTCACGTACGGACCGATCGTTGGTGTCGCGAGCAGCTTGGGCGCGTTCGCGTGCGGCAGGAGCTCCTTGAGGTTCTTGCGCGAGAAGCCCTCGGCGTTGCCAACGTCTGGGTGGAAGCGTGCGTTAAGGGCTGCGCGGGCGCGCCGCAGCATCTCGGGCGTCACGTGCATCTCGTCCGGAATTGACTCTTTGTCCGGGTCGGGAATGATGAGGCCGTAATGTGAGTTGGCAATGATCGAGTCGGCCAGCACCAATGCGTGCACGCGTCGAGGGTACACCTGCGCGTATAGCCGCGCGACCGCACACCCGATCGAGTTGGCGACAAAGACGAGGGGCGGCAGCTGGCCCCCGGGCAAAGCCAGAAGCTGCGCGACGACGTACAAGAGCTCGTTCAAGTCGGCGACGACGTCCAAGGCGTCGTGGCCGTGGCTCGGGTCCGGCGCCGTGGCATCTGCTGGGTCCTTGTCCGTCGTACGCCCTTGCCCATATCGGTCGTACGACATGAGCAGTACCTGTGATGCCACTGGCAGCGCGCGCTGCGCCAGAAGCGCAGGGATGGCGTCGGCCACCGGGAACCACGAGTCCTGGGGCAGGCCGAGCCCGTTGAGGAAGACGACGAGGACGCTCGAGAGCGGCGCGTTCAAGTCGACGTCGGCGGCGGCGAGGTCCGGCGACTCCCAGCGCCGCGTGTGCACCGAGAGGAGCGCCGTCGGCTTGGACGGCAACGCGATGCCATGCTCCTCCATTTTTGCGATCTTCGATTATTGAAAAAAAGAGGTTTTATTGTGTTTCGAGAGTTTTGGCAAGCACTTCAACTTGGTTCTTAGGCTCGGTCGGGCAGCGTGGTCGCGTCGTCGACGTCGAGCCAGCGGTCGGCCTCGTCGGTCTCGATCGGTGGCAGCATGATTGTTGGTCGCGGGTGCTTGGCCTGCTCGACGATCGCCTCGCACAAGAGCAGTACGATGTCTTGGTGGTCTTCCTCGATCGCGGCTGCGAGCGGTCCGTTCTACTCGAGGCGTTTGAGCGCTCATCAGCCCATAGCCGCTGTGCGCACCTGCGATCGATCTATGTACGCGCCGGCAGCGAGAAGCATGCGCACGACCCGCACGTGACCAGAGGTCACAGCTGCACGGAGCACCGACTGGCCCGTCTGCGAGATCAAGACGCATTGGTGGAGAGGCACTGGCGATGAGAGATGTACCGAGGTGCATCTGTAGATGTCGGCGCCGGCTTCCAGGAGGTGCTGCACCACGATCGTGTTCCCGTTCTTGGCAGCCATGAACAACGGCGACCGTCCATCCTACCATTTCGAGTCGAGTAGCCGTAGAGATGTGAGAAGCAGAATTAACCTCGTCGCAGCGGTGCACGTCAGCATTGGCCGCGAGAAGTAGGTCGACCATCGCTACGTGGCCACGCTGCGCGGCTCGAAACAGCGGTGTCTCCCGTTCCTGAGGTGATGTTGAGTTGGGCGACGTCCATGCTTCACAAAGCCACAGCAATCGATACCTTGTCGACGCTGTTGACGTTAGCGCCAGCTCGAAGCAGTAGGGACGCGATCTCAAAACGGTTGTTTTGGGCGGCTGCGTGCAACGCGGTGCCCGCCGTCTAGATAGTCCTTAAACCGAAGGAGGCACAATTTCGAGTTCTACCTCGCCTTGCGAATTGACTTTGGCGCCGGCCTCGAGCAGCATCGTGACAATCTCAAGGGTGCTCACGTCGGCAGCAAGATGCAACAGCGACGATCCCTAGATATGTTACAATTCTCACAGCTTTGTCGCGGGCTAGGCTCTGCACGTACGTCCGAGTTGACACAGGCCCCGGCATCTAGCAAAAGCCGTACGAGCGGAGACTTGAGGTAGATGGCCATAGCAATGGGCGGGGCTCCATTTTCCTGCTCACATATTGCGTAAAGCAGCATAATTACGGTTGGTACCTTGTGATAGGCGTTGACGTCGGCTTCGGCGTCGAGAAGTCTTTGAATAATAGTGACGTTTTCCGTGCTGACAGCGTAGACCAGCGCACTCTTGCCGTCCTACACACCAGTGAGAGCGCCCAATATAGTCAAAGATGGGAATACGATTATAAAATCGACGTCGGCACCAGCAGCAATGAGCTTGGCCACGACCTCGTCGCGCTCCTTCTGGATGGCGCAAATGAGTGGTGACACAAAACCCTAGTTGAGGTGAGAGTCAACACAGTGGAAGGCCCTCGTACTTCGCCACTGAAGTCGACTTTGGCGCCCGCTGCAAGAAGCGCGTCGATGACGTCGACATGGTTCTTCTCGACCGACGCGAACAAGGCTGATTGACCCTAACCTCGTCGAAGCTTACGAAATGCTACGAGAAGCACTCGAGCACCTCGCTGTCGACGCTGTTAACGTCGACGCCTTGGGCCAAGAGCGCTTGGACGTGCTCGAGATTGCCGCGCAACGCAGCAAGCGGCAACGAACAGCTCTCGGTTTGCCCCATGTGGTTCGCGCGGCGGAGCAAATTGCCAAGTAAGGTGGTGGTACGATGTTTTTGATTTGCAAAATGCACCCACCCCAGAATGAATGTCACTCTCTGCCGAATTCTGTTTTGGTGATGAGTTGCTGCGTGAGACCTGCCCGAGATTTTTCAACACACCCCCGTGACTCCATTTTGTTTTGGACCCACCCGGTCCAGCCTATTTATTGTTTTTGCCCACCCGGACCCGACCCATTGCATGAAGGTCGCACTGGTACAGGTGTGCACGATAGTCTTGCAGTGCTAACAGAGGCTCAAGCAGTCGCTTGCGGCCGCGGGAAAGGCTCATGACGCACGCTCTGTAAAGGCTTTTCGATCGGTGGCAAAGCAGATTGTTTGGGTGATCTGGACACGCCAGCACCACAATGCTATGCTTATAAACTTGACGCAGCACACCTCCTTATGCTTACGAGCCAATGAAGACGGATGACTGCGATGTTGTCAACACCAGTAGCTGGACGAGGGCGGTTTCAAAATACACTTCGAGTAATCAAATGCTGCAAAGTTCAATGCTGCGCTGCGTCGTCGACGTGGAGCCAGCGATCATTCTCATCGCTCTCGATCGGCGGCAGTTCAACGGTCGGTCGTGGTAGCTTGGCTCGCTCGACGATTGTCTCACACAAGAGCAGCACAATGTCTTGGTGGTCTTCCTCGATGGCTGCCGCGAGCGGTCCAGCCTAAGCAACAACTTTAAGCTTGGCGCTGGTCCCCAGGACCCGTACCTGCGACCGATCAATGTACGCGCCGGCGGCGAGAAGCATGCGCGCGATCCGCGTGTGGCCCGCGCTTACAGCTGCATGCAGCGCCGACTGGCCAAACTAGGTCGAGTCGACACGCTGGAAATGTTACCCTTCAACAGAGAGAGCTGTACCATGGCACATTTGTGAAGATCCGCGCCGGCTTGGAGGAGGTGCTGCACCACGATTGCGTGGCCGGTCTCGGCGGCAACAAACAGCGACGACTGCCCATCCTACCGATAGGAGTTGAAGCAACCGCTGAGATCTTAGAGATCGTACATCATTGCAGCGGTGCACGTCGGCATTGGCCGCGAGAAGTAAGTCGACCATCGCCACGTGGCCGCGCTGTGCGGCTCGAAACAGCGGTGTCTCCCGCTCCTGAGGGGGTAATCTTCAGTAAATAGCCCAGTAATGCGAGTGTACCTTGTCGACGCTGTTGACGTTGGCGCCCGCGTGAAGCAGAAGTGATGCAATTTCAACATCGTTGGTTTGTGCGGCTTGGTGCAGCGCTGTGCCCGCCATCTACATAGTCGTTCGAGGCGGAACGACCGGGATTCCCAGGCGCACCTCCGCATGCACGTTGACTTTGGCGCCGGTCTCAAGCAGCATCGTGACAATCTCGAGGGAGCCCAAGCCCGCAGCTTGAATCAGCGGCGTAGAGCCCTAGACATGCATGAACCCTGAAGGCTTGTTGTGCTCAACAGTGTACGTCCGAGTCTGACACGACGTTGGCATCGGCACCAGCGCTTAGCAAGAGCCGCAGCAGCGTTGGGGACTTGCGGTGAATGGCCATAGCAATCGGCGGGACACCGTACTTCTACGCGAAGTAGTAAAATGGCATGAATAGCAGGATAGGACGGTACCCCATGAAAAGCGTCGACATCGGCCTTGGCATCCAACAAACGTTGCACGAGGTTGATGTTTTCGGAGCTGACAGCGATCGTCAGCGCGCTCTTCCCGCCCTACTCGTCGTTCAGAGCTCCAGCGGAATCGTTCAAGCGCTATACACTAGTGACATCAACGCTGGCGCCAGCAGCGAGGAGCGTTTTCACAACGTCTTCGTTCTCGTCTTGGATAGCCAGGACCAGCGGCGCCGCGACGACCTGAGACCATTGACGTCAACTGCATTCACTATGGCTCGAACCTCGTTGGGGCTGTCCACATCGGCGCCAGCAGCGATGAGCGCGTCGATCATGGCGGCGTGGTTCCTTTGGACTGCGTACGACAAGGCGCGTCGGCCCTAGCACGCCGGCGTCACGCACTGCGACTGGATAGCTCGAGCACCTCGTGGCGGCCGTTGACGTCGACGCCTTGGTCCAAGAGCGCTTGGACTTGCTCGAGGCTGCCGCTCAGCGCAGCAAGCGGCAATGGGCTGCTCTCGGCTTGCCCCATCGTTCCGGTTCAAAGATGAAAATTGTTTGCTGCGGTATCCGGATACCAAATATTTGGTACCCACCCCCCAAAAAAGTCCACCTCGCTATGCACAATCGAACGGCAAACTCGACACTCGTTTCGTACCCACCCCAGAATGAACGTCCCTGTGAGCCAGATAGTCAGCGTTTTCAAAAGATATCTGCTGAATCGCCCGCCGCTGCTCTCGTAGATTTAGTAACCTAATCATACCGGTTTAACAAAAGGGCGGGATCCACTCATGAGGCGTGAGGGGTCCCCGAATGGTGCACCCAAGATTGAGGTCCTACTGGGTACTACCAACCTCGAATGGGTTATCTCATCCATTGCACACGAGCCGAGAGAGCGGCTTACGCTACGCCTCGCTGCTATGCCTCGTCCTCGCCATCGACTGCATGGCATCGGTCGTTCTCATCGCTCTCCATCGGCGGCAGCACAATCGTCGGGCGCGGCTGCTTGGCACGCGCGACAATGGCCTCGCACAGCAGCAGCACAACGTTGTGGTTGCCCTTCTCAATCGCCAGCGCGAGAGGTCCATTCTACAACAAAAAACTCCATTTTTGCTTCAATGCCAGACGGAACACGCACCTTGGATCGATCGACGTAAGCACCTGCAGTCAAGAGCATCTGCACGATCCGCACGTGGCCCCCACTCGCAGCGGCATGCAAGGGGGACGTCCCCACCTACGTAGCGCGCATTGAACGCAAGACACGTGGCAGAGAGGTAGCTACCGAGGAGCACTTGTGAATATCGGCGCCTGCTTGTAGCAGTCGCTCGACCACATTTGCGTGGCCCTTCTCAGCCGCCGCACACAGCGCCGATTGACCATTCTACGCCCAAATATGTCAAGCACAGTAGCCCCAACGACCCACCTCGTCGCATCGGTCGGGGTCTGCGCTGGCATCGAGCAGCAACTCGAGTGTCTCCAAGTGGCCGTCCTCGGCTGCGTGAAACAGCGCTGTGCGGCGAGTCTACGCTGCATCAGTACAGCTGCAGGCGATCCAGAGTGGGTACGTCGTCAAAGTCGTCGACGCGGGCACTGGCTTCGAGAAGCAATTTCACAATCTCCACGTTCTTGGTCATTGCCGTCTGCACCAGCGAGTTGCCTCCCGCCTACTCTCATCGTGATGCGACGTCCGTCAAAGTGGCGTACGTCGGTGCGGGCGTTCACGTTGGCCCCGGCAGCGAGCAGCATCTGGACGAGCTCGGTCATTCCGAGGCCCGCTGCGGACATGAGCGCGGTGGCGCCCTAGTAAGCAGCCCACATATATCCTGCGATGCACCATCATCTTTGCGCTTACATTGAAAATGGGTACGTCGACCTCTGCGCCCGCATCCAGGAGGAGCTGAAGCAGCGCCGGCGACTTGTGATAAATGGCCATCGAAATCGGCGGAGGGCTCTCCTACAGCCATAGTCTATGCCACGCATTCAACAGTGTCTTCGCCGCACCACCCGAAACGAGTTGAGGTCGGCCTTGGCGTCAATGAGCAGTTGGATCATCGGGATATATTCTGCGCCGACCGCCAGCGTCAGCGCCGACCGATTGTCCTGCACGTTTGGAGCATCAAGCGACATCGAGTAAAGTCGCGTACCCAGATAATGTCGACGGTGGCGCCCGCCGCCAGAAGCTTCTTGGCAGCGCCTAATCGCTTCAATTTGATGGCGATCGCGAGCGGCGGTGCCATGTTCTACGGTTGGCATAAGGCAATATGGCGACAGTTGGCGGTGCGTACGGGGCCACCGAAGTTCAAGTCGGCGCCGGCCGCGATGAGCGCGTCGACGACGTCCAAGTGGTTGTTTGTGACGGCGTTGAACAGGGCAGACCTACTCTACGCGCATGCTACGAGTTGGTCCGCCTGGAGATGGTGCTGCGTCATACGTTGCTGACGCTGTCGACGTTGATGCCTTGAGCCAAAAGCGCCTGGACCTCGTCGACGTTGCCCATAAGCGCAGCGAGAGGCAGCGGACTCTCTTCTTCCTTAAGCTACACAAGTGCGTGAGGCTACATCATCGACAAGCAGAACGCATCACGAGGCCGAGAAGCTCCCAGATGCCCATGGCTGCGCGTTTTGAAAAATGAGTTGACGCATTTTGACGGTACCCCATAAAAACATATTTTGGACCCCCTACGTGGGGTGGCAAACTCCAACCCGACAACTAGACACTCGTAGGCTGTCCACACTATTCCAACCCAGCTCTAGTGTACTATTGTACTAGTACTTTTACAAGCGACTAACCAAGTTCAGAGTATTAACAATAACTTTACTAGACATCTCAAGTTGCCGATATGTGCGTTGTGGAGGCTTGTAGCGCGTTAATGATCGGGCCATGGAGACCCTCCGTGCACGGCTGACGGCACACGGCACACGTGGTGGTGTACTGGAGCCACTCGAGCGCGCAGTGCTGGTGGAAGCTGTGGCCGCACGAGAGCGTCACGACAGAGCACGCACCCATGGCCCCGAGGCATATCGCGCACTCGTCGCTCTCAATCACAGTGCTTGACGCGACCAGCGCGCTGTCGCTGGGCTTGAAAAAGCTGCTCAGGAGGCCGCGGAGGTCGTTGAAGGCCGGGCGATCCGCCGCTTTGAGGCAGCGCTGCACAAGGTACATCAGCTCCACGAGGCGCGTGAGCGCCACCTTGCGCGCGTACACAGTGTAGTGGTCGTCAAAGCCCAGCGTGCGCGCGGGAAAGTCCATTTGGCCGCAGAACGCTGCGAGCTGGTAGGCCGCGTCGTCACAAAGGTCGTGTCGGTGCGTCTTCGCCCACGCCACGACGGCCTTGTACAGCGATCGGCACTCTGAGTAGCGCGTCTGGACGATGGACCACGCGTTCGTGTCGAGGACCACAAAGGTGTAGCGCATGAGCCGCGGCTGCGATGCGTCGGGCGTCACGGTCGTGTAGATGGTGACGGCGGCGGTGTCGAGTCTCGAGTCGACGGTCGCAAAGGTGCGCTTTGCCCAGTGCTCAAAAGTGGGAACCCACTTGAAGGTCGAGGAGGGCTGCTGCATATTTGGACAATCGGAAAATGCGAGCTCTCCAAGTCTTGCAGTGGCAAGTAAAATGATCGCGTAACCTACTGGATTCGCTGGCGACCACCCCAACACATGGTGCCGAACGTGACAACCCAGCTCACAAATCTACACCAGATTAAGATTAGGGTTGCCAAAATGACGCATAATCCCACGGCCATGCGACTACCGGTATGTCACAAAAGTGTGTGCGGTACTATAGTCTTCAGATCATACATTAATCTTGAACATGCATTCCAGTCGAGTGCCCCAAGAACCCCAACCGTTTGCACCCAAGTTGAGTTCAGTCTTCCGTAGTAGCCAAGTCCAGTGTCCGACAATTATTCGGCGTCCCGGGTACCGGTACTGTAGAGGTTGAAAACGAAAGCCAAGAGAGGAGCTTCAACCGCCGACTCGTCGCAACCCCTGCCTGCTCCAACGCCGGAATAAACGGGTGGTGACCCACCAACACTCTCTTGACTGACATACATCCCTCGAAAGGTGGCTTACCGCAGCCATAATCGCGGGTGCTCCTTTTGTTTCTCTTTCAGGACCGATTGGATGTCGTCGTTGCGCTCCCAGCGTGACCGTAGCTTGGCCTTGTCGAGCTGCAGCGCTAGCGGCGCTGGCGGCGCTGGCTTGGGCCGCGTCGCCCGCACCCGGGGCTTTGGTCGCTTGGGCTTTGCATCCGTTGTCACCGTGCACGCGGTTAGGAATGTCCACTTGCTCGTCGTCTCCATCAGGTTGTTGTCGTCGTCGTCACAGGGCGTTCGGTGGTTTAGCTCGTGCAAGACGGTGCGCGTCATGTCTCGGAGTTCGCGGGGCGTCATGGGCGGCGGCAGTCGCGGCGTAGCTTTCTTGACAAAGATGTTCCGTCGCGGGCACGCCGACTGCGGTCTCGGCTGCAGTGGCGCTGGCGGCTTTGCGGTTGGCCGCTTCGTCGGCGATTTCGGAGCCGCTCGTTTCGGCGGCGCAGTCGCCGGCCGTCCTTTTTTCGTAATTTTCTTCTTTTTCAAAAAGACGGGTTTGGTGGCCCGGGGTAAGCGCTGGGGTACGGACAGGGTCGGTGGTGGCGCCAGGCGAGCCGAGTGCGGCCGCACGCGGGCCATCCGGTCATGGAACGACGCGACACTTTGTCGTGTCCGCGCCAGCTCGACCTGCCGCGGCGTTGGTTGGTACGGGCGCGCGCTCTGCGGTCGCGACGGAATCTGGTGCGACACAATGTGCTGCAGCGTCGCCAAGACATTCGTCTTGGTCGACTCTTCGAGGTGCTGGGCCAAGACGGTCTTGCGCCCCGGCACCTTGCGCTTGGTGAGAACGGTCGTGTGGCTCCAGCCGCACTGCACCTGGACCGCGGCGAGGCCCGAGAAGGCAGTCAGCAGCACCGGTGCCGGTTGCACGTCGAGTGCGTCGGGCAGCCCAAGCCCGCCGTTGACGTCGTACCCCCAGGTATAGACATCGCCCGACGTGGTCACGGCCGCCGAGTGGAATTGCCCCAAGCTCACCTACGGACACGTGAGGGGCAGAAAAAAGAGGGAGGTTGCACATCGAGGACGCGGGTCGACGACGGAAACGTCACGAGCGTCGGCGCGCTTCGGGCGCGGGTGTCCCCGAGGCCGAGCTGGCCAAAGTCGTTGGCGCCCCACGTGTACAGCTCGTCCGTGGCGGTGACGATGCACGTATGTCGCCCGCCGCACCGCACAATCTATCGTGCCCCTTCGACCCCATTGTATCAATCTGTCAAGTCGCACCTTGGGCACCACATCCAGTGTCTTGAGCGCATGGACAATCGCAGGCGTATCCCGGGTTGTGGTCGAGTTGGTGCCGAGGCGACCGTCGACGCCGCACCCCCACGTGTACAGCTCGCCTGGATTCGCACTCAGTTCTTATGGTCAAAGATACACCTACTACCTTGGGTGGTGATGCATGCGCTGTGGTGGTACCCGGCGGCCACTTGGTGCACCGAGTGCATCGTCAGCGTCGAAATGACGCTTGGTGTGCAGCTGCGCCAGCCCGACTCGGTGCGGCAGTTGCGGTGCCCGAGCCCGAGCTGCCCAGCTTTGTTATGTCCAAACGCCAAGACTTGCTGGAGGTCGGTGATCACAAGCGTGTGCTGCCCACCGCACGCGACCGACTTGACGACCACTTTGCTCGCGTCGTCGCCCGCTTTTGTAAGGAGACCTGTAAAGTCGACGCGGCGCGGTGTCAGAATGTCCAAGTAGGACGAGTGCCCGAGCTGCCCAAACCGACCGCTGCCCCACGTGAAGAGCAAGCCGGCACGCGTGATGACCGCCACATGGTGCTGCCCGCAACTTAGCGACGCGATGGCGGGCTTTTCGTGGGCCGAGAAAAAGGTAGAGGCCAGTAGGAGCTGCGGCGCAGTCGTTGAGCCACAGTTCGTGTGGTCGCCCAGCGTCGCCTGCCCGTACGTGTAGGCGAGGCACGACTGTGACGAGACAACAACGGTGAAAGTGTCGCCCGCCCCAATACTGCTGAAGTAAATGTCGTGGTCTTCGAGGAGCCCATCGACGGCCGGCTGCGACGCCTCCTGGTTCTCGGTGCGTCCAGCGCTCTCGTTGGCAGCATGTGCAAATCCCGATACGAGGTGCGGGCCGCGACGCGCTCCCGAAGGCGGTAGCAGCGCGGCGTCGCCCCCAAACGTCCAGACGTACGAGGCTTCGTTGCCGAAGACGGCGACCTGCACGCTGGGCACGAACGCCTGGTCGAAGCGTTCATCCTGCGAATAGACGCGATGAACGACTGCAATTGCATCGCGCGTCACGTCCACCGCATACACGCCGACCGCTACGGGGATAATGACAAGTTGTACATAGTCGACTCATAGAATGTCGCACCTTGGGGAATGTGGTACGTTTTGGGGGTGAAGCAGATGCGGGATGTGGTGATGCGAACCGCGCGGGACCGGTCCGACTGCACCATGATGTGAACGACGACGGGTGACACGCACGCCGTGGTGAGCACGAGGGTGTAGAAGCCCATGGAGCCACCGTAGATGGCCTCCACCTGCAGCTTGGAGACGTGGACAAGCGACGAGCCGCCAAACGCCTGCGGGTGGTCGGGGTACGTTGGCCCGGCTAGCCCGAGCGCGGAAAAATCAGGCAAGATGCAAACAGCATTGCGCTTCTGGACCGGTGCCTCGTCGTTGTTGCTGAGCTCTTCGGGGGGCGGCTGGCAGTGGAACGAGGCTTGGATGTTGGCCGAAGCTTGTAAGAGCCGCGAACTCAGGCGGCCCCGCGGCGACGGCTCCGTCATGAAGCGCGAAACGACCTGCCGCCAAAAATACACCGCGTCGCGGCTCGCAAGAAGGAAGGCTATGAAGTGCAGATACCGGTATTAATATATCGCTCGGGTCGCGTCAAGACTGCCGTCAACCATGCACAGAGCGCTGTTGGAGTCATCGCTGGCTCGTTTTGAAATGCAATCAACTAAGCTCCTTATAGCATCACTCGTTCCTGTATTAGGTACAATATTCGAGTCATCAGCAAACCCCCGGTACGCAAGGAAAGACTCCCATGTTCCCGCCATTCTTCTCGGCCAACGTCAATGCACGTCGAACACACTATTTAGGTGATCATCCTATTTCCGTGTATGCGGCGCTTGCCACCTTGCATCACGACTGGCATTTTGCCGAATTTATCAAATTCATACTATTTTCGTTCGATAAGACTATCTCCGTATACGTGGCGTATGCCACCTTGCACTTGCGAGCGCAATCCGTTGGACGATGGCGGCAACCGACGTGGCGTTCTACCTCGTCGTCTCCAACATCGCGGGGCGCAGAAACCTCGGGACGTATCTCCGCACGGCGACGGCCTTTGGCGTCCGGCAGCTCATCGTCGGTACGCTCGCCGCCTCCTAATCTTCGCCTCAGCGTGCTTCTAGTCGGCTGCGACCGCTACGGCACGCATGGCGCCCACAACGCCCACAAGTACGTCGACGTCGTGCTCATGCACACGTTTGCCGACGCTGCGGCGTACCTTGCGTCGTTGCACTGCACGTCGGTGCTCGGTCTCCAGCCGCCCGCGCACGAGGTGCCCTCGACCTGTACGCCGCCGAATTTTGCATCAACGGACAAGCTCATACACGAGGCTATTAGGCATTGACGACGCGGTCTTCGACGGCCCGACGGCGTTTGTCTTGGGCAACGAAGGTGGCGGCCTCTCGGAGGACCAGCGTGCAATCTGCACCGGCTTCCTCCGCGTCGACCACTACCCGACGCAGGCGCCGACCGTGCCGTTCAGCATCGACCTCACGGTGCAGCTAGCGATCGTCCTGCAGACGTTCACGAGCAGCACCAACGTGTACGTCGAGCGCGCGATCCAGGACACGACGACGCGCGGCAAGTTTGAGCTCAGCGAGCGCGTTCCGACGGCCGCGCAGACGCCGGCGCAAAAGCAACAGGTCGTCGACGCGCGCCTCGCCAAGAAGGCGCAGGTCGAGAGCGTCATGGACGACGCGCTCTCCTTTGACGTGATGCTCGACGACTACTAAGAATTATGCGACGAGCCCCTTCTGCATCGCATCTGTCAATGTCCGAGGATTTATGCATCAATTTTGACATTGTAGAATAAATAATACGTGGCACTCAGAGCTGGTGGCGCTTCCCCAACCGCTCCTTGAGGAGGTTGGCGCAGATGCGGCAGCAGACCACGTTCTTATTGCGGTAATCGCCGCTCTCGTTGTCGTCGTGGCGGGCGAACGATGCCGGGAGGGCGTCACGGACGGGCGCTGGGCCCGTGCACTTGGAGCAAAAGAGCCAGCCACAGTGGTAGCAGTTTTGGGCTTCGTTCTTGAAGAGGAAGCGGAGCCAGCGCCAGCACTTGGCTCGCTGCGTGAGGTGGCGGCCGCAGTCCATGCACTGGTGCTGGCGCTGGATGGGCACGTACGGCTGGGCGTGCGTGAGGTGCGCGAGAATGCTCGTGAGCGCGCTGCTGGACGCGACTTTGGACAGCGGAAGCCCGACGTTGTTGGTGGTGTTGATGTTGGCGCCGTACGCGACGAGGACGCTTGCGACCGTCGGCATCTGCTGCGCCACGGCCACGTGCAAGAGGGACTCGCCTTCGATCTCCGACTCGACGTCGGCGCCTTCGTGCAAAAGCATCTTGAGGATCGTCGGGTCGTCCTTCCGGAGCGTCATGAGATGCACGACGATCGGCGTGAAGCCCTTGTTGTTGCGCGCGTGGACATTGGCGCCGGCGGCCACGAGGAGCGAGACCATGTGGTAGGCGACCGACGACGAGATGCGCCGAGAGGTCCCGACCGCAAAGTGCAGCGGCGTGTTGCCATGGTCGTCTTCGAGCTCGAGCGTCTCGTCCGAGCGCACGAGCGCCTCGAGCACTCGGATGTCGCCGCGGCGGATCGCAATGTGGATCGGCGCCTGGCCGTGCACGGGCTCGCGGAAGCTCAGCACCGAGTTGGAGTTGGAGCTCCACGACGCGGTCGAGCCAAAGCTGTTGTTGTTGGTCTCGCCCGTCGCCGGCGAGTACATATTGGTGCGTGGCGACGCCTGGATGTTGTAGCCGCGCTTGTTGAAGAGGCCGAGGAGGCTCTTCTGCACGGCCGGCGAGTCCATCGACATGTACGAGTGGCGGTCCGTCTCGAAGGCGTCGTCGTCCTGGAGCGACGGGCGGGACACGGTGCAGTCCACAACAGCGGGCATGGTAGCAAATTGCACTCTGGCTACTGCGCGGAAATTGCTGCCTTTTTTGTCGAATTTTAGAGCACTTGAAGTTTGTATGCGCGCGTTGGATGGGCCCACGTGGTTTCAGCGCAAAAGTGAAATCAACCAATGAAAACGCCAGGATTTTCGACCGACCAATCAACGCGCGCACACTCGGTGAGGCGACCTGGCGCGCGTCTCGCCGGGAGAGCCGTCGAAATTTGGTCCATGGGCGGCGCCACCGAGCTAACGAGCTGCCGGAAGCGCAGGGCGTACGATCGACGATGGCGCACACACTTCAGCTATCACCACGGCGAGGTGATGCGCACCCGTGTACCCGTGTACGGTATCGTTTGGTATTGCTGAAGTAAATTCTCATTAGTTGCTCAAACAGGCGTGTAGCTCCGAATCTGTCTGCGCCTGTCCAAACACACGCGTTCTGGGCGCCGTTGCAGTCCACCGCGATTCGTATTGCAAGGATGTGCGGCCGAAATGAACGAAACTAGAGTGGTCTCTGTTAGACGGCCGGCCTCTCCGAGCTGTAGTGGGTTCTGGATGGCCATCAATATATATTTGCGGTCCGGACGCGTGTCTCGTGGAGCCACGTGCTTGAAGTGCCAGGCGCACACAAGACATACGTCCCAGCTCAAGTCGACGGGCGTTTGAGGCTATACACTCAACCCAGATCCGGGCATTCGTCCGAGTGATGCCCAGAGATCGCTGCTATACAGTGCTTGACCAACGCAACATAACGTTTCCCCAGCCACAAGGACCAGTGGGACAGAACAGGGAAGTCGACAGCGTGGGAAAGACCGGCGCTGGATCCTTGTGACGAGGACCGTGCCTTGGGTTCGAATCCTCCGCGTCGAAAGCTGCGTCTTCCACGTTGCAGCAATGCTGAGTTCGCGTCAGCAATGCAACTTCTCGAGTGCCCTTGAAGCTTCGCGAGGCGAAGCTGGTGCCCGACGTTGTCCCATCCGAAACCGACCAGAGAGTGCAGCAGTCCACTCTTGACGTCAACGAATGAAGCACGCTCAACGCGGCGTCTAAAAGATAAAGACCGTAGGTAGCGGGTGTTCCCAGCATACTGTCACCGCTGCCAGCAAACTTTCGACGCGATGCTGCTGCGACGACTGGCCCGTGCCGACCACCTTCGTATGCAACAGTGTCGGACGAGTTCGATGCCATGACGCGCAGGCTTGGCTTCAAAGACGCCATGACGAGTAGCTTTGCGTGGGTAGCCGCGCACATGCGTGCCAAAGCTTCCACGAGGTTCGTCATCACATGTCAATGCGTATGATGGGAATCGAAGGGCAGAGAGGTGCCGGTCCCTGCATGAGCTGTACCTGCATGGCGCTCTCAGAGGATTTCTGCCGTAGGCTCACGGCCACTGAGAACAAGGCAAGTCTCTTGCTCGAGTTGATCGCCAGCGATGATAGCAACCTATCAGTTGGATCCAAGCTACCAGTTGTAGTCGACTTGTCCACTCGAGCTTAGATACGAAACGCACCCGATAGATGATTGAGGTGCTCTTTTAAGCAAACGCACCTTTATTACACTATATAACGTTTTCACACCAAATCCTTGGTTTCTTTGTGGAAGGATTCCAGAACGCCAAGAAGATATCGGCGACGATGGACGCGGTCCCAGAGCGCTTCGCCGGCCTCGAAGAGGACTACATCGACTGCAAGCGCACGATCAACAACTGCATACACGACCTCACCCAGACCGAGCGTACGTCAGAGGCCTCTTCGCTCCTAACGACCGCTGTGGCGAGGTAGAGAAGAACGCGGCGCGGCAGTTGGCGCAGGCCACGATCGTCGAGGCGCAGCGCTGTCTCAAGCTCATGGCAGTCGAGGTCCGCGGCCGATCGCCCACTCTTCGCAAGGAGATGCAAGCCAAGATTAACGTCTACCGCGACGAAATCGCCGGCTTCCAGCGCGACCTGGAACGGGCCATGCTCCTGGCCAAGACGACGCCGCCGTCAGCCGCCGCCGCCTCCAGCGCCAACGACGCGGTAGATCTTGGGCTCTTCGATAAGGAATGCATTATGCGTATAGGCGCGCTACGACCGCATCGTGACCAACACTAATCGGCTGCAGCGGTGGGCGGGTTGCAGCGTTTGTCAGAAACTGACAACTCGAATAGGTCGTCGGACCAGCTCGAGCAGTCAAAGCGCATCGTTGCTGAGACGGAGCAGATCGGAATCACGGTCATGGACACGCTCGCCCAGCAGCGCGAGACGCTCCTCTCGACCCACGACAAGGTGCGCGAGACGCGGGAGCTCACGGGCGACGCCCGGCGCGTGCTCTTGCGCATGAGCCAGCGCGTGCTCACCAACAAGATCACTCTCTGGTTCGTCATCGTCGTGCTCGTCATTTCGATCTGCCTTGTGTTTTACCACGACTTTATCCACCCCATCTCGATGGCGCTGGGCGACTAATACACTGTGCTCTCTTTGGTTCATAACCGAGATCCAAGCCCAACCGCTGCTCCCGATCCATTGGGAGGTCCGTCCGACAAGTCAGCTTTTGGGGACGTGGTCTCGCGCGGTGGGTCTTGATTTTGGCGGCGTGTTGTCTGTCGTGATAACGTTCCTGCTGCCCACGTGGCCTGCGACACGACGTCGATGGCTCTCTGGGGCTTGCATCGCATCCCACCTGCGCAGCCAGTTGTAGCTGCGAAATGCTGCAGGCGCATTCAGAATTGCAACCTTCAGCGCAGAACGAGCAATGGTATGAACGAACCAGCAGCCAGACTTGGCCACTGGCAGAGCTTGGAAGCGGGGAGACGTCTGGCTTTGGCCATCAAACGCCCACCTCGCAACAGACCTCGCAAAGTGCAATCTCGCAATAGGCAATCTCGCCAGGAACATCATCTTGAACCTGATCTTGAACAGTAATGTCATTTCGGTCCCGCGTGTCGGACCAGAACAACTTGACGCGGAATTCGCCTAGCTAAGTACTCTTCGAACCACACGTGGCGTCAGCTATCATATGCCCATCTCCGGCCAGCCAATCAGGCGCCAATAAGTTCTTATCGCACCATGTCTCTTCATCGCGCATTCTCCGATTCAGCGACGAGAAGCCATGGTCGGCAGCGCCCTCTCGCGCTACTGGACGATCAATGTGCCCGCCAAGACGATGGCCGAGGAGGTGGCCGAGGCCCACCTCTTCCTCTGGCCGCTGCGCAACGACACCTTCGCCGTCGCCTCGTGCCTCCGCTTCAGCCGCTGGCATCTCTTCCTCGCCGTGCTTCTGACGCAGTTCATCACAGGCTCCATCTACTCGCTCGTGAGCCTCTCGCAGCCCCTGGACGCATTCTTCCAGGGCAACTTGTACGCTGGCAAGTCGACAGCGCTGCTCATGACCGGGTCGGCGTCCATGGCGGTCGCGGCCGCGCTCTCTGGTCCAGCACTCGAGCGCCGCGGTCCGCGCTGGAGCATGACGATGGGCACGTGCATTCTCGCGCTCGGCTTGCTACTGGGTCAAGGCGCCACCATGACACGAACGTGGGCTCTCATGTTCCCAGCGTACGTCTCTGGATCGTGTACTCTACGTTCTTATTCGGCCATGTAGAGGCGTGTGCTACGGCGTTGGCGTCGGCTACCTCCTCATCACGTCGTTTTCGACGCTGCAAAAGTGGTTTCCGGACCTGCGGGGCACCGTGAACGGCATCGTGCTCATGGCGTTTGGGTCGGGCGGCGGTGTCTGGAACCTCTTCTTCCGCGCGCTCGTCGGCCCAGGAGCGAGTCGCGCCGACAACATGCCGCACGTCTTTGCGTACCTTTTGCTGGTGTTTGTGCCGCCGCTCATGCTGTGTACGCTTCTAATGCGGACGCCACCCGCGAGCTTCCGCGTAAGTGGGCACGACATGCACGGGATTGCGACCGAGAAGGCGCCGTCGGCCAGCTTTGTCCAGGACGAGTACCTCAAGGTCGGCATGACGCTCGTCAACTATGCGGCGCTGCAGCACCCACCTCAAAACGCTGCCGTCGAAGGCACGGAGCGCCACTACTACGAGCAAGTCAAGGCGCTGACGCTGCTCCAGTGCATTTTTTCCACCGACTTTCTCTGCCTCTTCCTCGCCGCCACCGCGCTCAACATGCCCGCGAGCGTCTACTTTGAGCTCGCAACCACGAACACGAACGGCGACTTCAAGTCCATGGCCTGGTTTGGTGTCGCAAAGCGGGACATTGATAATGTGATTTCGGTCGGCTTGCTCAGCAGCTCGGTCGGCCGCCTCGTCTGCCCCATGTTCTCGGACGTTTTGATCCGCGTCTTCTACGCCAACCCGGCCTTTGCGCGCAAGGTCGTGCTCCTGTTGCTCGTCCTTGTCGACGCGGTCGGGCTCGCGCTTCTCGTCCCTCGGTTAGAGGGGGACTACGACACGCTCGTTCAGGTGACGTATGTGCTCAAGTTTGTGAGCGGCGGCGGCGCGTCGATGACCGCCTGCCTCGTCACCGACATGTACGGCGTCTACAATGTGGGCACCATGTACGGCCTCGTCTCGCTCTCGTGGGCGGTCGGCATTGCGAGCGTCGGGCTAACGTTCTCTGGCTCGGGCGCGGCGTTCATGTCGCAGATGCACTCGATGGTCGTCGTCTCATTCGTCGCCGTCGCGCTGACGTGCCTCGTGCGCACCAACTCGTTGGACCGGTTCTTCCACGGGTACCAGTTCACACTCTGCCGCAAGCCCATCGTGCAGATCCCGTTCGCTTCTCAAGGCCAAAAACACTATGCGATTGGTGGTGACACGGCGCCGCACGGGTCGACCTTCTTTCACTGGGACTCGGACCACGACATTGACTTGGACCACGAGCCCGACGCATAGACGACCATCGATTAACTTATATATCTATATACTCTAGCAGTCGGAGCACCTTATCTAGTCACTCGAGGCGGACGACCTAGGACGTTTGCGTCCCAAGCCCGCGATGGGCTCTGCTGTGACAATGCGATGGAGTGGCTAGCTCTCGAGAGATATCCTATCAGTCCGTCGCTGTGGACGCGCAGTGCGGCCAGATTTGCGCTGGGCCAAGGGCTCGACAAAGTGAGGCTCTTGACTCGGGATCCTGAACATGGAGGTTGAAGTCGGTCATCCGGATACGAGGCCAGAATCCTGCGGATGACGAGCTGCGTGTGCGGGACGGCGCTCACGGAGCGTGACGCGACCTTCGCTGTGAGCCATGAGAACCGCGTGCGCGTCTACGCGTCCAGCGAGCTCTACCTTCTGCACGAGTTCTCGTCGATCCACGGGCGCATCCTCCGCCTCTTCCACACGACGTTCTGCGACGCGCTCGTGACGCTCGAGACAGACGCCGGCGACAGCAGCGACTGCTACCTCTGCGTCTACCACGACTGGCGCGCGCCGTCGCTTGATGCGCGCAAGCTCGTGCGCGCCTACACGCTGCCGCTCGCGATCGACGACCCACGCGCCGTGTGCCTAAGCGTCTGCGCCTTTACGGGCCGCGTCGCACTGGCGACGCCGTCGAGCCCGGGCCTCAACCTCTGGCAGACCAGCGACGGCTTCTTCGAGCACGTCATGGAGCTCAGCATCGACATGGCCATTGCGCATGTGGCCGTGCACGGTGCATACGTGGCCGTCGCGTCATCGACCGAGGTCCGCGTCCTTGAAGTGCAAGTCGTCACAGACGCCTCGGCGTCGCCCGCCACGGCGCCGACGTCCAAGATGGTCTACCAGAAGAAGGAGCTCATCTACAACACGCTCGAGAAGGACCACCTGCCGACAATCCGCATCCCGAGCCTGAGCGGCCGGTCGCCAGCGCCATTGCCGTCGCCGACGCCGCGCCACCGCGTCCGCGTCATGGCCAAAGACGACGCGACGCTCGAGGCGTACAACCTTGCGGGCCTCGTCCGCGACGAAGACGTGCGCGTGAACGCCGCCATGGAGTACGACGTCTCTGCTAGAGAGAGCTAAGGACACGTCGTCTGTAGGTTCGTGCAGTGCCACGCCAAGGTGCTTTTGCAGCGGTTCGTGCCGCCCAACCACGCGATCGACGCGCTGCGCTTCTTGCCCGAGACGATCGCAAATGGCCGCCTCGCGCAGAGCCAGAGCTACGCGCGCCTCCTCGTGGGCACCTCGACCGAGGCCTTCCTCTACTACCTCCTCGCGGACCAGGTCGACACGACGCGGGATCAAATGTCCAGAAAGGTACTGGCTTTTGCGTTGGAGTTGCGTCTCAGCGCTGGCGCAGATCCTGCAGCGCGCCGAAGACCCGCTGCGGGGCATCGTTGAGCCGATCGCGATCACAGCCACTGGCCACTTGTCGTCGTTCACGTCCCGTCGGCGGCCCACCGAGTCCGGACGCGTCGTCATGTACTACCGCTTCACGGCGCCGGTAGCGTGCATCACCGCCAACAGCTCGTTCCTCTTTGCCGCGACGCTCGCCGGCCTCGAAGTGTGGTCGCTCTGGAGTCCGTGCCAGCACGTGGCAGCGACCAAGGCCCTCGAGAGCCTCTTCCTCCCGCAGCCGTCGTCGCCGCAGCTGCTCGGTGTCCGCCCGCTACCGTCGCCGGCGTACGCCATCGTGGCTCTGGACGCACACGTCGTCGTCCTCACATGCCCGCCAGGCGCTGTCCACACGCGGTACCTCTCGCATGCGTCGGCGGCACCGATGCACGCCATGCCGTTCGAGCTGCGGTCGCACACTGCTCGCCACGACGCCCTCGGCGACGGCCAAGTGTTTGTCTATCCCCAGAGTCCGCCCGCGACCATCTTTGCCTCGGCCAAGGTGCCTGTAGTGACAGCCTCGGGGATCTGATGTCTTCTAGGCGGCAACGCTCGGCGACGAGGTGTCGGCCGACCAAGTCGATCTGCTCCTGAGCCTCTTCTCGCTCTATCGGTTCCGCGCGGATGTCGGCCTCGGTGTGCTCACGGGCAGCACGACGTCGCTTCCGCCCAAAGAGGCGGCGGCCGTGCGCCTCGAAGCCAAGCTCTACGACGGTCTCGCGCGCGCCTGCGCGGCTCACATTGCGCATCTGTACACGACGCCGTTGCACCGCAATCTGACGCGGGCGGCGCTGCTCTACGTCGCCTCCAACGTCTCGTCCCGGGACGTGCTCCTGCGCTTCCGCAGCATCGACGACGCCGACGCGGACGTGATCGACGCGACGGCCTTGTACCTTGAGGCGTTCCTCTTCCCGAAGAAGGACCCGGCGCTGTACCTCGGGCTCACGGCCCCGGTGCTGCCGGACGCCGAGTCGGCCGACCCGACGTTCACGAGTGTTGTGTTGCGGCACTATGGCGACGGCGCGCCCGAGCAGCTCGCGCGCCTTCTCATCGACTCGTCGCTGGTGTGGAGCCTCATGGATCTTGACTTTGGCCTCAACGTGCTCCGGGGCGCGCGCCACAAGACCGTGCTCCTCCGCGTCGCCATGCTTGTGGCCATCGTGCGCGCGAACCGGGGCGCCCGAGAAGAAGTCGCCGCGTTCGTCGACGCCAAGGCCGCGTACCTCCCTGGCGCCAACGCCTACAGCTACGAGACGCTCGCCGACCAAGTGAGCTGGCTCGCAGAGAACTACCCGGACCCACTCGTGCACCTCTGCGTGACGCACCCCGAGTTCCTCATCCAGAAACACCCGACGTCGCTCGACGAAGCCGCGATCACACCGGGCTACTACCGGTCGTGGCTTGCCGACGCACTCGGGGCGCGCGCGCCGCTCAAGCTCCTCTCCGCGCTCGAGCTCATCGTGCACAGCGCACTGGGCCACGGGAATGTGTTTCCGACCGTCGTCGCCTTTGCGCTGGGGGTTCTCGGCGAACCTGGCGTGCGCGCGTCCCAACGCATCGTCCACGGACTCGCGACCGCGACCCATGACTTTGCACCGGGCGAAGAACTCGTGCTCGCGACGTTGCACTTCATGCTCGTGCACTTGCGCACGCACGATGTGCCGCTCGCTCCAGTGGCCAAGGAGCTTCTCGTGTGCATTGTGCGTCTGAGTGCGAGCGGCGAGGATGCGCAGGCCTCGGTCGCCAAGACCCTCTCGACCCGGGCGTCGCTGCTGCCCAAGAAGATCGTGCAGCCGCTACCGGCGTTCGTCGCGCCCTTCTTGGCGCTGACCACGTCGCCAAATGCGTCGCCTCATGTCCAGCAGACGCTGCAGACCCTCTACCTCCTCGCCTGCCACCTCGTGCACGACGCATGGATCGAGCCCGAGGACGTACTATCCGATGTCGCGATAGTCCAGAGCCCGGTCGCAGTCTTGCTGCAGCTGCTTCTCTTCCCGCTTGTTGGCCGGTGCGTCTCCCTCGTCTGTCGATCGCTTAGTTCTGTGTAGGCTTGGTGACGGCCTCGCCCTACTGGCCGCGACCCATGCGTACCACAGCTTGCTCGTTCCGTACGCGGTTGTGTACTGCACTTCGCTCTCCGAGTGGGCGATGCTCCTCGACCTGCTCTTCCCGCCCGAGGTAGGCACCCTCGCCTGTCTCTTTGCTTGTAAAATCTGGAATAGATGGCGAGTGTGCTGGACGAAGCCTTGTTGCATCTGAGTGTGACGCTGTCGCCGGACGACCTCTTGATGCTGCTGCCCGACACCCTTCCCGCCGACGTTGTGCTGGCCGCCATCGAAACGAGCGTTCGCAGAGCTGCCCACGCCGCCTAAGACGCACTGCAACATTCATTTCTTAGGATAACTCAACGCAGCTACTCATGTGCTGTGGTCCGAGTCCCACATGAAGAAGGAGCTGCGACCGGGCGTCGAGACAAGGACGGCGTCGGTCGGCGCCGACGGGTGCGAGAACGGGATCTGCACGATGGGCTTGCGGCAGAGTGTGAACTGGTAGCCCTTGTAGAACCGGTCGGACGAGCTGGTGCGCACGAGGCAAACGAGCGCACACCCGACGCAGCACACAGCGACCATCGAGTGCATTTGCGACAGAAACTGCGCCAACGACCCGGACAAAGTTAGCCCGACGCTGGCGAGACCGACGGCCCAGTAGAGGAGGAGGAGCCCGTACATGGTGCCCACATTGTAGACACCGTAGAGGTCGGTGACGAGGCAGGCCGCCATCGACGCGCCGCCGCCGCTCACAAACTTGAGCACGTAGACCACCTGGACAAGGGTGTCGTAGTCCCCCTCTAGACGAGGAACGAGAAGACCGAGGCCGACCGCGTCGACGAGCAAGAGCAACACGAGCACCACCTTGCGCGCAAAGGCCGGGTTGGCGTAGAAGACGCGGATCAAAACGTCCGAGAACATGGGGCAGACGAGGCGGCCGACCGAGCTGCTGAGCAAGCCGACCGAAATCACATTATCAATGTCCCCCTTTGCGACACCAAACCACGCCATGGACTTGAAGTCGCCCGTCGTCGTCGTCGTCGCGAGCTCAAAGTAGACGCTCGCCGGCATGTTGAGCGCGGTGGCCGCGAGGAAGAGGCAGAGAAAGTCCGTGGAAAAAATGCACTGGAGCAGCGTCAGCGCCTTAACTTGCTCGTAGTAGTGGCGCTCCGTGCCTTCGACAGCAGCGTTTTGAGGTGGGTGCTGCAGCGCCGCATAGTTAACGAGCGTCATGCCGACCTTGAGGTACTCGTCCTGGACAAAGCTGGCCGACGGCGCCTTCTCGGTCGCAATCCCGTGCATGTCGTGCCCACTGACGCGGAAGCTCGCGGGCGGCGTCCGCATCAAAAGCGTACACAGCATGAGCGGCGGCACAAACACCAGCAAAAGGTACGCAAAGACGTGCGGCATGTTGTCGGCGCGACTCGCTCCTGGGCCGACGAGCGCGCGGAAGAAGAGGTTCCAGACACCGCCGCCCGACCCAAACGCCATGAGCACGATGCCATTCACGGTGCCCCGCAGGTCCGGAAACCACTTTTGCAGCGTCGAAAACGACGTGATGAGGAGGTAGCCGACGCCAACGCCGTAGCACACGCCTCTACATGGCCGAATAAGAAAATAGAGTACACGATCCAGAGACGTACGCTGGGAACATGAGAGCCCACGTTCGTGTCATGGTGGCGCCTTGACCCAGTAGCAAGCCGAGCGCGAGAATGCACGTGCCCATCGTCATGCTCCAGCGCGGACCGCGGCGCTCGAGTGCTGGCCCAGAGAGCGCGGCCGCGACCGCCATGGACGCCGACCCGGTCATGAGCAGCGCTGTCGACTTGCCAGCGTACAAGTTGCCCTGGAAGAAAGCGTCCAGGGGCTGCGAGAGGCTCACGAGCGAGTAGATGGAGCCTGTGATGAACTGCGTCAGAAGCACGGCGAGGAAGAGATGCCAGCGGCTGAAGCGGAGGCACGAAGCGACGGCGAAGGTGTCGTTGCGCAGCGGCCAGAGGAAGAGGTGGGCCTCGGCCACCTCCTCGGCCATCGTCTTGGCGGGCACATTGATCGTCCAGTAGCGCGAGAGGGCGCTGCCGGCCATGGCCAAATGCGTCGGTTGCCAGCACCCGAACCGCCTCGCGCTGGCCACGAGCCCACGTATGGGTACTGTGGAGAGCGAATGGCCTGGAAGATTCCGCGCGTTTTCCAGCCGTCATACAAATTGCAAGAGGAGAGTGGAGGGTGAGAGCAAAGAGAGTGGTACTTGCCGATGACGTGGCAGCACGAGGTGCGTGTGATATGATAGCTCGCTGGCGCCTTTCTGAGTCGCTAGCATCTGGATCGTGACTAATGGGACTCGTGCACGGAGCAGACGCGCGCAAAGGAGGTTTTTCGTACCTCTGACTTGTACTACTGCACCTGCCAGTGGCAGAAGGGTTGCGCAATTTGAGCAGCTCGCGAAGGTTTAGTACCGGTAGTGCGCTGGAGGGTTACGATCTCGTGTTAGCTAGCTTATCGACAACGACGGATCATTCGACAACTTCTTTGCTGCTTTCGCTTCATATTTGGCTGTTTTGCCGCATTGGAGTACCGGTAAGTACCGTTTTGGGGGTCTGACGGCGCTGCCTCCCATGTACATACCGTTCAAGAGAGCGTGCTCGCGTCATTCGAGTAGCGTTGGATCGACGGATTTTGGTGGAACCAAGCTGGCGAGGTGGACCAACTTTTTGGCGCGGTGGCAGAGATAAGGCAAAGTCACAGGGCCATGTCACGTTGTCCTCGCGCGCAGCGGACTATTTTGAGCATCGAGCTGCTGCAGCGTGAGACTGTTGAGCAGCGAAGGCAGGCCGTGGAGCTCCACCATTTGATCGCGTATCCCGTCGTCGGGCAGCAGCAACAGCCCGACGTTGCAGTGCCACTCGGCGCCATTATGGAGCTATGAGCTCCACCATGAGACCCTGTCGGCGTTTTACAACCGACCCGTCCACAGGAAATGCGCGCTCACCAAACTCCGAGCTTGCTACTGCTTGATTGCGCTCGATCCAACGCCCCAACATGAAGAACTGGTACGAGTTTGCCTTCTTGTAAGTGCACCCGAACCCAGCACTCGGTGTTTCTACGGCGCTTTTGAAGGTCGCCATAGACGCCTTGGCGGCTCTGCGCGGCAAAGTCAGCTGAAACTGCTCGGTAGCGTGGTGCGGCGGCAGCTCGAGCTGCTCCCGGATATCGACATCGATGCGTGCGCGAGGAGTGCCGACCGCAAATCCCCAAGCCCATTTAGAGCACAATGATGGAGGCGTGTCGTCAGTTTCTCAAGAACAACTCGCAGAATGTGGTGTCTTCCCAAACTGGACGTTGATGTCAAGGTTGTTCTTATTGCCAGAACAGACCCTTCGCCATTACCATGGCGACACCGTGAAGTTGTATCTGCTGGCCCGCTCCTCTTCACGATACCGCGCCCGCACTGGACCGACAGAGATTATCGTTGCCACTCTGTGTCTGTTCAGGTTGCGACGTATCCGCTGCTAAAACGCGCAGCCGAAGGTAGTCAGCCATGCAAACCTGCTCGACACACTCGATTCGGTGCTCCAATCCTAGCCACCACCCGTGCTTCTAGTCGTTTGGCTGTCCACCACCTGCCTTAGCGGAACGTCAGCGAAGGCTTGACTACGCAACACAAACTCAGAGCCGACGCCAGCCGGAAGACAAAACGCGTCGCGCTGTCTTCGCTACATCGCATCTTGCGGACGACGACAAGGAGCTGATCCCACCAGTGTATTCAACACCTCTTCGCTGCGTGCATTCGGGCACGTTGTCGCAAATCTTGTGCTGAGTGGTAACGAGCAATCCTTCGATATGACGTGGCGCAGCGAAATGATGTGCGAAGCAACCAATCAGGTTGCGCGATTGTGAAAACGTACCACCATTTCAGCCAATAGCATCGCTTGTTGACAGTGCACAACGGCAACATGCGCATGATGCGAACACCAGACGGACCGGTGGCGCCATCTGCCCCAACAACATGACGTTGATGCCAACGCGCCGTTCCTCTGCAGACGCCCTGTGTCCATCGTACAGTATATTCTTCTCATCCAGTATTGCAGTACGTTTAGAGCACAGATAGACCGCCGACCAGCTAACTATTGCGCTTCGTTGCTTTTCCCGTCGTTGATCGCCTTCTGATCGACACCCATGCAACAGCGTTGCTTGGCGCAGCGCGTGGTTTGAAAGAACCATCCGAGTGTCCCGTCACACTCGCCAGAAGGCTGCACCAGATTTTGGCTGAACCGACACCATTCGGTCCCACGGTTTCGATCATTCCGCACTTTGGATTTGGCCATGTACTGGCGCATCACCGTGCCGGCCAAGACGATGGCCGAAGCCAAGGCCGAGCCGTGGCTCGTCGCGCTTCCGGGCCTCTTTGTATGGCGCGGCGTCTGCTTCCGTCGATGGCACGCGCTCGCCGCGACCTTTTTCACGCAGGCGTGCTGCGGCTCCATCTATGCCTACCCGGCGCTCCTCAACACTCTCAATCTGCATTTTGGCCAGACCGATGGCGCCGCCATGACGCGCATCATGCTCGTGGCCATGGCCTGCTTGGGCGTCGCCGGCGCACTCAGCGGGCCTGCGCTCGAGCGTCGCGCGCCGCGGGTTGGTATGTTTGCCGGCACGCTCTGCACCTGCCTCGGGCTGCTCCTCGCCCACATTGCGGTTCTCGTCACCTCTGAGGCACTCTTGATCCTCGGGTACGTTGTATATATGCACGTGCATCTTGTCTTCAACTGGTGCTGTAGCTACGGTGTGCTCGTCGGCGCCGGCGTCGGGCTGCTCGTCCTCTCGTCTATTGCGACCACGCAAAAGTGGTATCCCGACTACCGCGCCACGTGCATGGGCGTCGGCGTCCTCGGCTTTGGCGCGGGTCTCACGCTCTGGAACCGACTCTACGTGAGCCTCCTCCATCTCGCAACGACGACGGACGTTGTCACGAGTAGCGCCCAGCTGACGCATGTCTTCTCGACGGCCGTCGCCATCATCGGCCCCGTCTTGCTACTGAGCAGCATCGTTCTGCGGTCGCCGCCCCCGAACTTTGTCGTCAACGGCGTCGACATGCACTGCGTGGCAGCTGACACATCGGCGAACGCGACGCAGCACCTCTTCGTCCAGGACGAGTTCTTCAAGGTCGGCATGACGCTGGTCAACTTTGACGCGATCCGCGCCTCCAACGACGCGTTCGTCGGCACGGACGGGCACTACTACCAGCAGGTCAAAGCCCTCTCGCTCGCGCAGTGCATCTTCTCGACCGACTTTGCGCTGCTCTACCTCGCGTTCGCCGCGACCGTCGCGCCCTCCATCCTCTTTGTGTCGCAGCTCGTGCACATGACGGCCTACCACTTTACGCACAACGACAATGTGTCTGCGATGGCTTTCGCCCGCGTCCCGGTGCTTCTCAGCCTCCTCGGCCGCCTCGTCGCGCCACTCCTCTCGGACGGCGTCGTGCGCGTCTTCTACGCCAACCCGGCGTTCGCGCGCAAAGTTGTGCTCTTGGTGCTCCTCGGCGTCGAGTGCGCCATGCTGCCGCTCATCGCGTTCGCGATTACGAACGACGACTATGCGACATTTCAGATTGCTGTCTCCGTCATGACCTTTGCGACCGGCGGCGGCTTTGCCATCGTGCCGTGCCTCCTCAGCGATCTATACGGCGTCTACAACATGGGCACAATGTACGGACTCCTCTTGACGAGCTGGTGCGGTGGCGTCATCGCGGTCGGCCTCGTCCTCACCGAGACCGACGTGGCCGACGCCTCGGCGCTCGCCGGCCTTCTTCACGCGCTCTGCTACGTGCTGGTGGTGGCCTGGGCGCTGCTCTGGCTCGTGCGCACCAACTCGACCGACCGGTTCTTCCCAGGGTACCAGATCACGGCCTGCAGCCGCGTCCTTGTCCAGATCCCGTTCCGCCGCAACACGTCCGACACCCTGCGCGACGACGTCTCGTCCGGCGGCAGCATCGACAGTATCATCGTCCCACAACAAGCGTCCAGCGGCAAAAGCCCGACGCGCAGTTCGTTCTTCCTCTGGGACGAGCACGCCGTCGTGCACGTTGGCTCGGGCGAGGCCAGTAGCATTACCGAAGAGGGCGCCGAGCACTAGACCTGTCAACATCTATTTACCAGCCTTTCATGTCGAGAGTACTAGTATATATGTTCTTATCGATCACCGGATGGGTACGTGGCACGCTGTGGGCAGAGATACTGTACACTCCCAAGTAACAAGCAACAACAAAACAAGGCGAACTTGAAAGGCTTTGCACGAGCCCGACTACACTCAGGAGCTAACTTACACTGTACGCTAGTACACTGCTCGAGAAACCTTCGCGCAGCATCGAAGGTGGCAGCTGCGCTTCCTTGCCCGGGCTACTCGCGATCACGTTGTCGAGGCTCACACCGCTAGCAGCCTCGATCTGCTTGAAGGTGCGTTACTACTGCGTGTGTCTGGCAGGAAGCAAGTCAAACGGTGAGGACTAGGGTACCGTTTTCTGCCATGGGGTGCCAGAAACACCCCCTTTTCGTAATTCCTGCGGTCGGCGGCGGGGCGCCGGGGGCACGCTGTTTGCGATGCCATGGCTGCCTGCTGCTGGTACGTGCATCATAGAGTTGTGTATTGGTGGGCGAATCCATAGCGAGCTTGAGAAGCTCCAGATCGCATCGGTAAAAGAGTTGGTTGTCGTTCAAGGGGTGATTGCGACGACCCCGTTTTCGGATGGTAGCTTGGCGCTCGCTCGCATTGCTCATTCTGCAATTGACCATGGACTGGTTCCTTCGCTACTGGACGATCACGGTGCCGAGCAAGACGCCGTTCGAGGTCGCGGGCGAGCTCTGGCTCTTCACGTTTCCGTCGCCGTGCGGCAACGGCGAGCTCATGACGTGGCGCGGCCTCCGCTTCCACCGCTGGCACGTGCTACTGGCGACCTTCTTGACGCAGTTTGTTTGCGGCTTGCTCTACGCGTACATGAACCTCGCCGGTACGCTCGAGCTCCTCTTCTTCAAGACGGTCACGGTCGAGCACGTCGCGACCACGTACGGCGAGATCGTCGGTTGCGGCTTCCTCGGCGTCGTTGGCGCCATCGTCGGTCCGGCTCTGGAGCGCCGCCAGCCGCGCGTCGGCATGATGATCGGCAGCGTCTTCTTCTTGATGGGCCTCGTCTTCAGCCACATTGCGGTGCTCGTCGAGTCGTACTGGTTTTTCATCCTCGGGTACGGCTCGTGCATCGGCATTGGCACGATCCTCCTCATGCTCTCGTCCTTCTCGACCGCGCAGAAATGGTACCCCGACTACCGTGGCATCGCGATCGGAGTCACGTGCTCGGGCTTTGGCGTCGGCTTCTCGGGCTGGGCCGTCCTCTTCCTCGCGCACCTTGGCAAGGACAACAGCGTCAACACGGCGCCCTTGTATTCGATCTTTCTCATGGCCCTCGCGCTCTCCGGCCCGATCCTTGTCTTGAGCACGGTCGTCATGCGGTCGCCGCCGCCCATGTACATTGTGAACGGCCTCGACGTGCACTGCATCGCGGTCGACACTAACCTCCCGGGCGCCGGCTTTGTGCAAGAAGAGTACCTCGACTGCGGCATGACGCTCGTCAACTACGACGCGATGCGCGCCGCGTCGCCGGGCACGCAGAGCTACTACTACCAGCAGGTGAAGGCGCTCTCGCTGCTCCAGTGCATCATGTCGACGGACTTTCTTCTCCTCTTCATCGCGTTCGCGGCCTCAGTGGCGCCCAACATCGCCTTCTCGCCGCGCCTCGTGGACATCACGGCCGCCATCTTCACGCACGACGACACGGTCGCCACGTACGCGGTGGCGCAGAACACGGTGATCGCGACGGTCGTCGGCCGCCTCATTGCGCCGAGCATGTCGGACGTCCTCATCCGCGTCTTCTACATCAACCCCGCGTTCGCGCGCAAGATCGCCTTCATGTTCTTCGTCGGCGCTGAGTGCATCACGATCCTCCGCCTCCAGCAGGCCATCGAAGCGCGCAACTTTGCGCAGTACGAGTGGTGCACGACGATCCTCGCGTTCACGTGCGGCTGCGGCTTTGCGACGATCCCGTGCTTCCTCATCGACTTGTACGGCGTCTACAACATGGGCACCATGTACGGCTTGATCATCACGAGCTGCTCGCTCGGCATCGTCCTCATCGGGTTCGCCTCGGCCAACACGGCGCTCATCAACCCAGTCGTGCTCGTCGACCACCTCGCCTTCATGGGCTACTGGCTCATTGCCTCGTGGTTCCTCATGTGGCTCGTGCGCACGAGCAGCGACGACCGGTTCTTCCCCGGGTACCAGATCACGCTCTTCAACAAGGTGCTCGTCCAGATCCCGTTCGAGTCCCTCAAAGACTCGATGACGGTCATCTTACCCGAGCACGACCTCTCGAGCCCGCTGCACCAGCGCGCCGCGTCCTTCTACCAGTGGGAGAGCCACGACGAGGTGCGCGACTCGACCGACGAGTACGGCGAGCCCAAGCTCGTCTCGCTCTTCGACCCACGCAGCATGGACCCGACGCCGTCGCGCCCCGTGGCCATCTGAGCATGCCATCGACCTCGTCTTGTCTAGTCCTTTCTATTGATTTTGTAATGCCAAGCGGTTGCAGCTTTGCGGTGTGGGCAGGGGTAGGGTAACTCAGGTCGCATGGAGGTGTTGCGGCGGTTTGACACTAGCAGCGCTAAAATGACTCTAGTCGCATGCACTCAACCAGTAGATGACTAAAGCTCCTTCATGCGCCGGCTTCGTGCGCGCAGCTGCCGAGTAGCGGGATCTGGTGCATGTTTGAGTCAGTTTTGAGAAATATCTCTAGCATCATACGGTTTAGAGGCTATCTAGTTTTATTCTTTGGATGGATGGATGTTTTATCGGTGGGTTTTTGGTCCAGAAATGGAGACAGTAGTGATAATTGCATGTATCTAGAGACGGTTTTGAAAGCATTTTAACTGCAGCTTCAACCTGGATCTGCAGTTGCCGATTTGCCAGCAGCAGCATGTACCTTCTCGTGAGCACCGAAGTGACCGTGACGACGGGTACGACGGTCGCCTTATGCAGGACGCTCGTCACTCATGACGACCATAGGCCCGACGATCGTCGGCGACGAAGCCTCCGACCCCGAGCTCATGCAGGTAATACGTCCATATCATGCGGGACCAACGATCCTCTGTAGACGCTGGGCGCGCGCCTCGTGCAGGCCAAGTGCCAAACCTACAAGTACGTTGCGGCGCCGTGGCGTGTGTTGATGGCGGCGTAGGCACTATACCGTCTCGGCGCCACCACGATCGGTGCTCGACAAGCTCGAGCGCCTCGGGTTTGAGATCTGCGGCATGAGCGGCCTCGGCCAATCCATCGTCTGGACTATGCGCAAGTGCTCGTAGCTCTCTCGCCGAGCAATTGCGAGCCTTTCATTGAATAGTAGTGTTTTGTCTTGTCGCCGCCTCCTACAGCGCTCTCATACCCGACTCGGTTTCTGCTTGGGCTCTGGTCTCTTGCTGGCGCTCTGGTCGCCGCTGCTGCCAGCACCAGCAGCAAATGCTGCAGCCCGAGGGCAACACTAAAACCGTGCATTGATCCGGATACGCTCCGGAACCCGTCGCGACGCCAAAGATCATTCTTTGCCGATGGCCGATAGCCCAAGCGGCCCGACGTCCGACGATGCTCCGCCCTGGTCTCCGTCGACGGCCGTCGACGCGCCGCCAAGTGCTGCATCGACCGTGCTGGATGCGCCGCCGATAGCAGTATTGGTCTCGCCCGCTGCGCCGCTGCAGCTGCCGACCGCGCTGTCGCCCTCCTCGGTCTCGCACCGCCACCCGCACGACACATACGCGGTGATCACGCCCGTGAGCTCGCCCAAGCGATTGTCTGTCTCGAGCGCGCCGGCGGCAGAGCCAGCGCCAGCGGCGTCAACGTCGCCACGTCGTCCGCACTTGAACTTGAACCTCTCAGCGGTCGGCGTCGCCCGCCCGACGAGCGCCCGCGCCCTCGTGCCGTCGTCGAACGGGCGAATACGCAAGGTGACACGCGACATTGCGGCGCTGGACTTTCTCCAAAACATCCCGATGCTCTCCGAGTGCAGCCACCTCTCGGAGCACTCGCGCAAGCTCGGGCCGCTCTCGTCGCCTGACCACGACGCGCAGTCCCAAGAGTACCCGCTCGAGCTCGACGAGGTCGAGCAGTCGCTCGCGGGCCGGCGGCTGCCAGGGCCCGATTCGACTGTCGTCAACGTCTTGCCGCTCTTCCGGTACACATGCTTCAAGTGCTTGTCTCATGGGTCGCTAGGTATCGCTTGGCAACCAAGTACCCGGCTGCGTCTGCGGTCGTTCGTCGGTGGGAAGCCACAATGACAGAGAAGGGAGTTATCGACGGCCGCATCTTCCTCTCGAGCGGGAAAGGCTACCCTGTCGGCGTCTCGTCCGTCATCAAGGTAGAGGAAGCGGCTGCCAATGCCGCATATGCTCATACCACATACGTGTCTAGTACAATGGCACGGAGAAGGTCACGCGCGCAGGCGGGCGCAAGCGACTCCAGTCGATCATGGTCAGCGCCGAGCCGTACGACTGGCGCGGCAAGTCCTACTTCCGCCTCCTCCACTCGACGTGGTCGCGCTGCGACAAGGACCGCGACAGCCAAGACAGCCACCCGATCGTGCCTCTGTACGACCCCAACTTTCTCGACAACCCCGAGTACGTTCCTCATGTTTCCTACATAAGTATCAATCTTTCAAATGCGCCAAGGTACCGCCAGGGGCGTCACAAGGACGTGATCCGCGGCGACCGCAAGGTGGGTCCTGTCGTGAGCAGTATCCTCCGCTTCGTCAAGCCCAACGACCTCAAAGAGGTTTTGTCACTGTTGAAAATGACATATCTTACGTAAAAAGTAGGAATTGAACAAACAATTTCGGGAAACGCACGTGTGGCTCGACGACTCGGAGCTCACGTTGAGCAAGATCCGCAACCTCAAGCAAGAGGCGCTGGCGATGGGCAGCCGGACGCACCTCGACATCTCGACCATTGCGCTCGCGTGCGTCTACTTCGAAAAGCTCGTGCTCAGCAACGTATCTATCCACCATTGGATTGTATCGAGATGACTTTGGATAGTTTGTCCACAAAGCCAACCGCAAGCTGTACATGTCGGCGTGTCTCATCCTCGCGCTCAAGTTCAACGAGCCTCTCGTACGTGTGTATCCAACGATCCGAGTATCCATTGGATAATAGAACCGCGACGGGATTGTTTCCGTCATCAAGAAGCTGCTCGTGGAGATCGACCACGTGCACTCGCTGCCGTCCCGCGACGTGCTCACGGCCGAGTTTACCGTCTACGCGCAGCTCTCGTTTGCGCTGCACGTACCGCTGCAAGAGATTCAGGTTCAAAATCTTGCGATTTCTCGAAACTCAAAAGTCCTTAGCCGCATTTTGCGCGGCTGCTGCGCATGGTCGAGAGCAACCCGCGGCAGTACCTCGGCGAAGAGACCTTTACGATTTACTCCAAGCTCTTGCACGAAGAGAAGAGCTGGTACGACAGTGTCGCGGCCGCCGACCACTCGTACGCCGAGGACGACGACGAAGAAGAAGAGGAGGAAGACGGCACGGACCTCGAGGGCGCCGACGACGACGAGGCGCGGGACCATTCGTCGCTCTTTCCCTGGAACCGCGTGTCGTTTGCGCAATGGTGGAAGGACCGCACGTAATACCTCGTCTTACATGGATTTTGTATCAAGATAGTATCAAGATGTATGATGCAAACTAGCTCGTCGTAGTGTCGCGGGGCGCATCGCTCTCGAGCGACGTCTTGTGCATGCTGGTGTCGAGAACGCGGGATGTTGGCGCTGGCTCGAACGTGTAGGCGGACCCGCCGTGCTCGTAGGCGTCGAGCCCCGTAGCCTCGGCGTCGGCCGACACGCGGAGGAGGCCGAGCTTGGAGAGGAGGCCAAAGAGGAGGGTGCAGAAGCCGGCAACCCACGCGAAAATCGCCAGCACATACACGACCTGCGCCGCGAGCTGGTGGCCTTGGTGGCCGTCGCAGCGGTAAAAGACACCGCACGAGCCGGACCCGACGGCCATGGCCACGCCTTTGCCCGAAGCGAAGAAGCCAGGCGCGAGGGCGCCGAGCGTGCCGCAGCCAAAGTGCACAGGGATCGCGTCGACGACGTCGTCGATCTTGCAGCGCAGCACGAGCTTGGCGACGCCAACGTAGACGAGCGATGCGATGGCGCCGAGCGCGACGGCGCCTTCGGGCTCGATCACGGAGCAGCTGCCGGTGACCGAGACGCAGCCGGCGAGGATCCCGTTGTTGAACATGCAAACGTCCCACGACTTGGACCCGACGAGGCGGTCGAGGAGGACGGTGCAGACGCCGCCCATGCACGCGCCGAGCGTGAGGTTGACCGCGACCTTGGTCATCACGTGGCTCAAGTCCCCCCGGAGCGAGACCGTCGAGACGCAGTTGAAGCCGTACCAGCCAAACCAGAGAATGAGCGTTCCCATGCTTTGGTACAAAACCGACTGCTTCGGGAGCTCATCGTGGCTGCCGTCGCTGTGGAACCGCCCTTTGCGCGGCCCAAGAAAGATGCACCCGATGAGCGCCGAGATGCCCCCGAGCATGTGGATGCAGCCGCAGCCAGCAAAGTCGATGGTCCCGACCTCAAAGAGGCGGTCTTGGGGGGTTCGGAGCACGCTCGCCCACCCAGTCGTGGACCAGATCCAGTGGCCCGCGACCGGGTAGATGACGGCGCTCACGCACAGCGTGTAGGCCAAGTAGGCGCCGAGCGTGATGCGTTCGGCGACTGCGCCCGAGAAAATGGTGACGGCGACGGCGGCGATCGCCCACTGGAAGAACCAGTTGCCGTACTCGTAGCCTTCGTACGCCATGGGGATATCCGTGTGGAAGGTGTCGCCTTGGAGGAAGAAGCCCGTGCGACCGATGAAGACGTTGCCGTCGCCAAAGAGGAACGCGTACCCGACGGCGTAGAACGTGAGGCCCGTGAGGCAGAGGTCGCTAAGGTTGCGGAACAAAATGTGCTTGGTGTTCTTGACGCTGCAGCAGCCAATCTCGAGGAGGCCAAACCCAAGGAGCATGATGAAGACCATGACGCCGCCAAAGACGAGCCAGAGATTGTCGAGCGCGGCCGCCGACGCCACGTCGGACGCACACTTGGTCCCGACGCACGCGTTGGCCGTGAGTTTCTTGGAGAACGCGTCGAGCGACATGGTGGTCACGACGCCGTTGAGCGTCAGCGTCACCGAGTCCATGCTGGTTCCGGTGGACGAGCAGGAAGGTGCAGATGCGAGAATGCAGCTATTTCCATCGGGAAGCAGCGACCCAAGATGACGTCTCGGCGGGTTGAAGTTGCACTTTCCGTCAGCCGTTTCAACTCGGATGTGGCGTCGATTTTGGGATGCGGCTCGGCCTCTCCTCGGAAGATATACGAGCATGGTCGGTCCCAACGCAGCACTGCGCCGATAGCGCTTGCTGGTTCTTGGACGCTAAGAAAGCTAAGCTTAGAGGTAATCGTGTTCATCTCGCGTCGTTCACTTCGACCGCGTCTTAAATAGTGTAGCTACAGCGTATCAAATCCAAATGAACGACCCGTCGACTTCGGTGCGGCTGGCGCCGAGTCGCGTGTGCTGGAACGACGCGCTCATGCGGTCGGCTTCCTTGTACCACGACGACGCGATAAAGAAGTGCGGCTCGGCCGCCGGCGCGGCGACTGGCGCAGGGGGTAACACGGTCGTGGCTGGCGCAACGGTGGGCGACGGTCCGTCGTTGACGCTTGGCACGTCGCTAGCCGTTGTGTACTCCATGCGCGGGATAAAGATGTGGTGCGACGCACTGAGGCGGTCGGTCGCAAAGCGGTCGCGCGATATGACCTGCGAGGACGCCAGCTTGGGCGGCTCGGGCGTCGGCGGCGTCGACGTCACCTGCGGCTTGCTTTCGTGGATGGCAGGTCGGAAAAACTGCGTCGAAGCCGACCACCAGTTGGACGACACTGCCTCTGGCTTGGGCGGGCTCGGCTCACGCGTGAAGAGGGTGCGCAGCTTGTCAAAGACGCTCGTCGAGGCGGCGAGTTCTGGCTCCGTTTCGCGCGATGGTGTCCACTCTGGCGCATCATCCACTACATCGAGGTCGGTCATGTGTCCGTTGTCGTCTTCTTCGGGCTCGACGGCCACGATCTCGGGCGAGTAGTTGGGGCTTGTCGCAGGGATCGCGTGGTATATCTTGCTCGCTGCGTAGCCCCTGTCAACAACGGCGTGAAGGCGCAGGCACGACGCAGGCGCAGCGCGCAGGACGTCTGCGAGGGCATGCGGCGACTTGATCCACTCGACGACGGCCTCTTGGTCTGTCTCGACCGTTCGGCAGAGCACGAGCGGCAGTTCCGGCGCGACGCTCTGGAAGAGCTGGTCGAAGAAGACGAGGCCGACGTGGCCGAGGTAGGCGCCGTCGATGACCATGGGCAGCACGCTGCAGGATGCGGGGAAGGTCACGAGCACGACGCGGCCCAGCGACGCGGTCATTTGGCCTTCGCCGCCCATCGAGCACGGTCAGTTGTAGAAATAAGCCAGCTGCGCGAGACAAGCGTCGGCTTACTTGGTCGTTGTATGAGGATACAAATGCCGAGTCTATTGGACCATCACTCGTTCCAAGACCCCGGTGTCCAGGCCGAATCATATCCATGAAAATGATCGGACCCCGGGGTATCCACTCGAGGATGAGAACGCCCAACATGTCGCTATCTTGTGATGGCGGTTCAAGCGCCGAGAACCACAAGAACGCAAGATGGCGGACGTGCCCGAAACGATGACGGTCTTTACTCCTCACTTGGTTGCGACTGAGCTATCTAGTAGCATGGCACCGGGGCTTCAGACACGCGCGACCTTCTCGAATGTGCTCGTCTTCGGAACAAAAACCAGAAACCCGATTTTTGGCCGAGATATCGCAGTTGAAGTTCATCTTTTGTTGCCAGTGGCAATAAATATTAATACGTGCACGCACAAAGAGAGGCTTCCGTTGGTTTGGGCAATCACGTGTTGCAGTCGTGCCTCTACCCTGTAGCAAAACGTGCCGGAGCAGCGAGATTCGTCAAAATGTACATTTTACCTCGCCTACAAGTAAAAACGAATTCGCATCCTGGCATTTCAAAACGAATATTTCAAGCTCAAAGATATATAGTTTAGCGATGCTGCGATGGTTGGGGCCAAACGCACGCCGCAAGGACGTCGGGCCAGCTTCCGTGATGGCGTGTCGCGTACACGATCGATACTTTGATACCTTGACACAATTTCGTACATTTCTTCATTTTTTATCGTAGCGCCATGCCGTCCCAATCAGCGCGAGCTCGCCAACATTTTGCGTTTGAAAATGAAATTGCCAAGCCTTGGCCAAGTGGTTGAGGACACTCGAGTGAGTGGTCGTGTCGAGGCATCGAGGGTGGTGAGACACGATCCTAGACGCACGCCGAACTAAGATCGTAGTGCCATCTTAGCGGCACAACGCCAGGTCACTTGTCGACAACATCAC